GAAAAGAGCCACGCAGCGACACATTAACTTAATCGTTTCCACTGCAACCGATCGCATTTCTAGCCTTTCTGGAAAAGAAGATTTACTGGACGAAATGGCCGTGGGAGCCCTACGGTACCAAAAACACGTCTTTGCAAGCTTCGTACCGATGATCCGTGATTGAAAGAGAAAAGTCTCATGACGCTTGCCCGATGAGTGGAATGAGGTTTGTGCTTTTCAATGAATCTACGAATTCAGGGTTATGGAAACAGTGACCTCAAAGTCGATCTGTGTGCGATCAGGGGTAACCCAAGGGCCAACAAAAGTACAAGCATAGGTGAAGTTTGTAATTTCGCGTGTTACTATTTAGCAAGCACAAATTCTCCAGTTTTCTATTTTGTCATTATTTGATTTGAGCTGATCCATTTGACCAAATCTCCATACCTGGGAGACACCAGCAGCTCTCAGAGGTCATACAACCTAACAAAAGTATGGGTTGAAGTAAAACATAAGAAATTTTCTGCCTTACCTAAGAAGCTAAGAGGTGCAACATACAAAGCATCAGTGGGTTGCTCCACTCCACGGAAGTTCTATGCTTTCCATTAAAGCCAGACGGACAGACGCCAGGTAACCAAAGGCGTAGAAGCCTCTGATTGGATTCCAAGAGCGTCAATGCCAACCAGTGGCGTGTCGTTGAATCGCATTGACATTGGGCGACTGGGGCCACCGATGGTGCGTGCCGCGATTGGATTTGTGTTTGGAGGCCCAAAGGCCAATGCATAACTGAGAAGAATGGAGCGACAAGCTGAACGATTTTATTCCTTTTACGAGGCAACAGACAACTGGAATTTCGCTTTTTTTTCGGAATGGAGACCTATCTCGTGGCCTACTTTGAAAGCACTATTCATTTTATGCAATTCGACCACCATTATGAATGCACGGATCAATGATAATGTTCCAAAGCTCGTTAATCGTCTCAAATCCTTCAATTTTCGGGATTCCTTCTTATGAAGTGCTGCTCAATGTTTAAAACATTAAATCTAATATTCAAACGTTTTAGACTTTCATTAGTCGTTCACATCTCCAATGTTTGTCCCGAGACCAGCAGGAGAGTTGAGATTACTGGCATGACCTAGGCACCAAGCCGTTCAGCTGAGGTGCCTAAAGTGCCCACATAATCCAGAGCCAAGTTAAACCAACTGTCAGAGTCTTGCATAGTCCCTCTTAAATGTTGTTACTCTTGCTGCTCCTGTTCCAATCCAGGGAGTGGGCACTCAAATAATCTTCTCACATTAGCTGAACAAATGAAGGATTTGTTCCCACTTGAATACTTTTATTCCCATTGTCACCAATGCACCAAGGTATTCCAATGGAGTTACAATTTCGAACCTTCGTAAAGTGTACGGGAACTGGATAATGTGCTGTCCTCATACACCCCGAATCAGGACATTGCTTCCCCACGAGGTCATCTCGCAACCTCACCCCAAGTCATAAAAATACAGGTCTAAAAGAACGGATATGGTGGTTCGTTTCTACACCTCCCCCTCATTTAGCTTTCATTTTATTTCTGTCCAAACATACCTACCTGGACTTAATCCAGCTAGTAGAGTCATCTTCGTAGTGGCACTATAAATAGATGGTGACAACACTGTCATAGAACAGAAAACTGAGGCACTGTCGAACATTATTTGCCACCCTTCTGCTGCGAAATTCTCCTGGAGTACCGTCTTCTTTTTTAAGCAGATATTTTAACTCCTGGCACTAGAAATAAGAATAGATATCGGTTCAACAGCTGCTGTCAAGGCCGCAGTACTCAAAACCTCCAGAGTTGAGGCTTAGCGTAGGCAAATGATTCCTTAAACATCAAAGAAGGGTCCCAACTACGTGAACCACTATCGCCTTTATCCATAAATAGCTAAATGTTTTTAGTTTCTCAACGATTATTTGTAAAATTACATTACCTGCTACAAATTTTTTGTAAACAGAATTGCTACTTGTTTAAATAAGTAAAAATAAAATTGAAAAAAACAAAAGAAGCAGCGAAGACTCCTTGATCAAACTGAAATGTTTAACTGCGAGGATATTTTTGCTGAATAGATGGAGTAACCACAGTTCATTTTTGGACTAAAGAGCAATCAATCCAGTGAAGCTGAACAAAGGTAAGAGAATTTCAAGCAGATCTTCTCCATTTAGTAGTGTCATAAATTTGATGTCACGTTTAACATTCATTCAGCCAAAAATGCAAGATTTGAAATTGCCTTTTCCTAAAAACATGTCAGCATCTCAAATTAGACTTAAGATCCGATTCTCCACCAGATTAAACTGCTTCAAGTGTAATCTGATCCACTTTGCCTCGGGCTTTCACATCACCACCAGGAAGGTGTTGAAGCTGCGGCACAATAAGAGGAGCACAAATTTGAACGCACTCAAAGTCCTTCAAATCCTTACATTAAATTAGCTCGAATTTCGCACCAACTACAATCTTTGAGCTAGCCTACTTTGTTCTCATCCAGTCTTTCCTGCACACACTACAGCAATGATGCTCCTTACGCTAAAATGGAACCAAATTGTCCGTGTGCACTCATTACTTGACCTACCACCAAGGCTTTCAATCGATAAGTTACCGCCCAGGTGCTGCATTGATTCCCAATAGCTATACAGCATTTAATCTAAATAGATCGCCAGTGTCACTTTCGCCTCACAGCTCTTCTTCAGGAACAAAATAGTCGGCTTAAACGGAAAATTTCAACATCCAACTTCCGTTTTGATGTATTCTTAGGCGTTTCGACACTATACAGACCTGCTTTAGGGGCCATCAAAATGGCAAAAATCCGGCCAGCATAACCCACCTCTCATAACAGGACTGAGCAAGAGCTTGCTAGCATAAGGGACTTGACTGTTTCCACTTATTCAACAAAACGGAGCATTTCTGATGTCAATAATTTACAGAGAGACCAGCGATCACGGCTGCAGTGAGTGGTATGAAAAACTAGTGGTTTACTTAAAAACGATGCTAAATTTATCCTCAACCTCCTCTCGTCAACTTAGAAAACAGGCGCTTATGAGTGCTGCGTCAATTTCATAGCCTTTTGCAGCTAATCCTACAAATTCATCAACACGGTACTCCCCAATGTCAGGCGGCTATCCATAATGGACAAGTACTGGTGATTCAAGCATCTTCCGCAAGACACAGTCATTAACAGAATGATCAACCCTGATGCCTAACCATGAAGTCAATACCTTCCATGAGCCCTGCTCAACCACCTATCCAAGTTCCACACGGGCAGTGCTTCAAGTTCAAGACTTCGACATATTTATTTAGCTTAACTTTGTGTCAGTTGCGGTCAGTAACGAGGTAAAGGTTTCGAGTTTTGTCAAACATTACTCCTAGTTCATCCTCCGTTCAGGTCTTTGAAAATCACGATCCATAATGGGACACCTTAAGGGCGATCTGAATTTGTAGTTATTTACCCCAACATTGTAGGGAAGGGCTGAGAGTCAGGAACCAGGTGTATCTTTGATGGATACTTACGAACTCTTATTGCTAAACACTGCGAACCATTTTTGTGACTTCGACGGTCTCCAAATGGCAAAATTCACTTATTGACACATCTATGCCCAAATCAGTCAACAATGATATATCTCAACCACAGGTTGCACGATATGAGGCATTTCAAATCTCCGATCAATGAAATATAGTTCTGTCGCACACTGTTTTCTACCCACTTTCCCTCCGCCTGCATGCCATATGGATTGCGAATGCTAACTGTATCCAAAAAAAGACAGAATGAAATTGCTCCTTTCATCCACATGTGCATCATTCCTCCGCCATCCCACCTGTTATCACCACTTCCTAGTCTTTAATTGTACAAATATCGATTTTCAATCGGCAATCAAAGTCCGATGGCCACCTGGGGACAATTTTCTTAAAAAAATATGTTTACTTTGCTCAAACAATTGCAAGCTCTGAGAAAGGGAAAGATGCTTTAATGTTATTCACCAGTAATTTTATCATGATGTTAGCAAGTAATGTGTTCTCATTAATAATAAATTAAAATTTTCTTGCTGGCCTTTAATTGTACAACAAGTCATTGATGAAACAATTTTATAGCGCCATTGAAATGCCCAGTTCGAAATCTGACATGAATATGATAACTTCTCGAATTCATCATCATCATTTGTGGCAGAGTCGGAAAAGGTGGCGTGCAAAAGTACCACCGACGAGTAATGAAAGCTGCCAAACTTCCATCGCGATAAGTAAAAATTCATGTGCATTGTTGGTGATATTTGACCTGATGAACACACGAAAATTCTCAGCGGACGAAGTGACATCCTATCTACGACCCAAATAGCTGCCAACTGGGGCGGTAAACTCCTCACCCTAAATCGAAACGCTGGGCAAATCTAACGACTGCTAATTTAACTCTGCTTTTGAAAACCATTTGCCCCAATTCCTGCAATGCTAAGAACTTCCTGTCAAATGAATAGAGGCGAAGGATGGAATAGCAACCATCTGAAGGTGGAAGTCTAAATTTCCCCAAGTTGAAAAGGATTTGGGGACAATTTCAAACCGACCAGAGGGTCAAGCGGCTATTTGTCTAGACGATCAAAGTGACGAATAGGTTTTGCGCAACTGCACTTACGTTGTTTTCAGCCAGATACACACACCAACCATCCCACGCGACCGCAATGAGGCCCCTCCCAGACTCATCCATTCAAGGCACAACGCCGCCACAGAACGAACGTTGTAGCTCAATTGACTGCCCTACTGATGACCTGATCCCCCCAGTCGAGTCAGACTTGCAGAATCCCCAATGGAGAATCATCTGAGACGATGGGAAAGGCATAAATAGTAAAAATAGAAATTCTTTAATTTAATTTAGGCTAAAAAAGGTACACGATAAACTTTAAAACGAATGGTTTTAAAAAGGACCACTCCTAGTGGACATTCAAAGGGGTAATAAAAATTTCCTCGAACGCCGCATTTTGGGACACCCGAACACGACCCCTCTTCGAGAGACCTAAAAATCACCACAAAAAGGGCATTCGTGACGCTGACAAGAGATGAAAGATGGTAGTAAAATGGAAGAAAAGCGAGTACAGAGGAGGTGGTGGAAGGCTTTGGCAGCTTGTTTTCGAGTAGTAGAAGGCGCTAGAAGTCGGGAGAACTCCACCGTTGACTCATCGCTTCCAGAAACTTTTTGGATGGTACTGACAAAGAATAAGAGTGCAAAAATAGAGTAGAGGACAAGAGGAAGAGGAAAAAATGGACGCTCTACACTACCTCCAAAGTGCCGTTTCACTGACATAGAAAGGAGGCACATCACCAAAAGGCGCCAAAGACTGCTGAAGGGGTCCTAAATTTTTGCAGACAAAAGAAAATAATTACCTTGACGCCATATAAATGATGTTATGATAAAAATGGGACAGAGTTACACAATCCAACCTAGACTACTCCACCGTGGGCAGATATTAACTTCAACATTGCTCACTTTTGAGAATCTTGAAGGGGTTTGAATTAATGGACTATGAAAAAGGCCATAACAGTTGTCAAGTTGGCGGTTTTACCAGTAACGAATGCTGAGAGAACTTTAGAAGAACTGTAATCTTGTGACTCCTAGAGGTAAAAAAGCTCCGTAGTCGACAGTGTCCCTTTGGTCCAGAGGAGGAATAACCATGGAGTGGACCAACAGTTAATTCAATTGTTCAAACTTATTAAATACCTTAACACAGTTCGCAAATGTTTAGTGTAAAGACGAAAGCTTTCACCAAGCTATGCAGTTGCCTTCCACAACTCAAACGCTTTAGACAAGAGAATTTAGCAGCCCAAATATTTTAAGCACACATTTATCTATCCATACTCATCAATATCTGCGGTCAGCCACCATCTAAAATTCGACTCCCCACTCATTCTTGTAGCTCTTCAAACTTCTACCCGAACTAAGACAAACCTTTCAACATATACAAACCAACCTTCAGTCATCGACTCCAGCTTTTCTTCTTCCAATTGAGGAGGTGGAACTAAAAAACCAACATTAAATCACTAGATGTTCATTCAAAATCATCACTGATTTCTCTCATCCAGATTCTCACTCACTCTCAGGCGCTAACAACGTTGTCTCGTGAATGGTTGGCGGTTCTACTGAAGGTGGGAGCATTCCTTCCTCTGGGATGGTGATACTCTGAGTCGAGACAGGCGCATGAAGACTACGCCCCTCCTGTTCCTGATCTTGACTGGACGAGGCTCGCGCCAGACCCAGAGAGGAAACACGAGGAGCAAAGAGGCCCGAAAACTGCTCACTCATTGTACCTCGAGCCTCTTCACGGGAGGATTCTGTCACAGACTCGCGAATACTGCCTAGATTGGAGCGCGAGGCACAGCTGGAAAAGGGGTGGGAGTCTTCCAGTGGCATCGATTCACAAAGACGACGTTTGGAACGCCAAAGCTGAGAAGAAAAGACTGATAATAGATAGTCATGTCAATGAAATTAATCATTAATCATTCAAATATCCCAGCCTCCTATCGAGAGCTTAGAAGAATGCACCAACCTCACTCAGCGTTCGACTAATGGCCAGTTCCCAATTCGCAGGCAGCGCGAGTAATCGATCAACGTAGAACGATCTTGCACGTCTTGGATGCGCCTCTGAAGCTGCCGGGGCCAGAATCTCCGCTCTCGTGCGCAAGCCATCGTGACTTGTCTCAAAGTTCCTCATAATCTCCGCCTTCGATAGCTGAAGCACTTCATCTATTACCAATCGGCAGTTGCGACGACGACGACGACGACGACGACGTGGTGGAGAAACTTGTACATCTCGAACGGAGAGTTGAGAGATATGAAGGGCCCCAAAAGTCACCTGAGACGGCTTTGACCTGATAGAAAGGAATTACAAATTTGCTGAACACTGTAGAATTTTCGAACTTATTATGAGCATGACATGTAGGCGCCACGCCTCAAGAGGCAAAAGATTTGATCCATCGAATTCCAACGCAAAAAAAATTACCATACCCGTGCATTTAAAGGCATGCACATTAGAAGGGAAATTTTGTCAACCAATCAAAAAACTTGTAAAGACATGCGACATACTTGCATTCATCCTATTCTTGGGATTAACTATGAAACTGACAGACGAATCGACAACTGACTTGAGAACGTCAATTATGGAGCTACGTGTAATAACGCTTTGGAGATATGCAATTTACAAAATCTCATGATATCCCCTCACAATTCTAGCAACTGAATGCGATCAAAATAGGGCAGTAGGAAGAGAGACAGAGTAAATGCAGAACTCCGAGCCTGGTCCTCACTGCCTAATTTCTGTTAATCCATCATCAACTCTTGTGCACCTTCTGAGATTCGTTTCCTTGGGCCTCGCAAGGAGTGAATGCCATTTCACCAGTCACCTGAAAGTCTGATAGTCTGGTCACATTGCACCCCGTCCCCTGCGTTCCTAAGGCTGAAAAGCGCCCAAAAAGTGAAATTCAAGAGCCCTCCTAAACCACTAACATGCTATAAAGACTTATCCCTAATGTTAGGGTCCTCGCAATACAGCCACGGTTTATGTATGAAATGAGTGGCCTTCGTCTGCGTCGCCATTGGTGTCAAGCAATTTGTCAACCCTCCTAGAGTTCAGTAATAATCACAGTCAAGTTTTCCCGTTGATAATCACCTGCAAGTTGACCATTCACCTTGATAAGACCCACAAAACTGTGAGCGAAGCAAAAATATAAAGCAGAGGATAAGTCGACAAAACATGACACACTTTACGGCTGAAGAGGCAGCACAAGGTCTTGGATACTCGAGATCAAGAGATGAGTTGCGAACTGAAATGTCACTTGCGTCGACCGCAGAGTCCACACGTCGACGCTTGGGACTGGTACCTTGCGGAGCATTCGCATTGGATCGAAGGCTGAAAGGGGGGAAAATGCTAGGATGCGTAACTGCTGAGAATTTATGTTAGCATAAAGTTGCTGAGTTACTCACTCATCATGTTGAAGCGACTTTGTTGGAGCAACTCCAGAACCTTGAGCCCTGAAAAGAAAGAAGAGAACATAAAATTAGCAGATTTCCTACAAAAAACAAACGTCCATTTTATACATAGAGGTGTTGCTTGTAGGAAAAAGAGGACAGGCATAAAACATCTGACCCCCACGAGGTGGGAACAAGCACGAATTAATTTTGGGCTCAGTGTAGGGTGAACAGAGGCACTACACTCCATCACCTCTGTAGAACCCATGGGAGCGAACAAACAGTACTTGTGTTATATCCTCAAAATCCATAAAACCCGAAAGTCTGCAGGAGAATGAATGAAAGGATAGTGACTTTGAGATGACAGTTGGCGTGGACTGCAAAGCTTCACAGAAGTACAACAATGATACTTCCCTATGGACTAAAGAACCGACTCTGGAAAACAGCATAGTGTAAGGCGATCAAATGAGTTTGGTTAATTTCTACACGAGTTGACTGCAAATGATACGTGGAGATATCGAACCCTCTTAGATATGCATCCGAGTGAAACCTGATCGAACTTGGCTTCACTGAGAGCAGACGAGTGTACAATGCACTGATAAGCTCAGGCTTAGAAAGCCTCAACATTAAACATGCCACAAGGTAAGATTGGGAGGCTCTCGCCTCTAACATCGTTGCAGAGCCCTCAACATCAGGAGGAAAATCTGAATGAAGGAAATGAACTCCCCACCGTTTGCGATAACGTGAACTTAAAACTAGAATATGGAAAGGTGAAGAATGGAAGAGAAATTTGAATGGGAGCTCTAACCCACCCACTGTTAAAAGTGGCCCTAATCATCATTAAAATTGTAGAAGTGTTGATGAAAGGGAGATTTGGGAGGGAGTGCTGAGGAGTCCCATAGGCTGTTTAGTGCTTGGATCAAAAAGCAGAACGAGAGGCTAAAAGTGAAACTGCAAGCGTAACGAAAGTGAATAACAATGAATTTATCAACAAGTAGATCCCACGATTCATCAAAGAACCATTTACTTACCCTTCTGCTACTAGGGGAGTTTTAACACTTCCCTCCTGGGCTTGACGCCTGAGGTAAAGCAGAAAAATCTTATGTTGGAATATGTCTCAGGTTTGAACCTCTTCAAAATAGCTTAAAAATGGCTTCCTACTATATGAATCTATCCTTATGGCAGTTATGCAAAAAAAAGCCCGTCTATAAACTTATGAGTACCTGTGTCACCTACTAGAAAGTGGCACTGCTCTCCGACTCTAAAAACATCAAGTATTGCATCGAGAGAACCTAAAAGGTGGGCTAATGTTGCTCGTCATGAGAGAGGACGGCTTCACGACAGCCAGACCTCTAGGAAAAGAAAGCAGAGAAGTCAATTTTGGGTCCAGTGTAAGGTGAAAAATGGGGAATGCTTAATCCCATCACCTCTGCAGAACCCACTAATTAGCAAACACACATCCTGGAGAGTAAGAGGAAAAAATTCCGGCCGCCGATGATCGCCATCCGCACAATGTTACTGGCATAAAAAGATGAGTATCCTTTCCCAGGTCTCAAAGTAGAGCCATCAGATGAGTACCAACCATACAAACAAAATTCGACATCAATTCAGTTGAGACCCTGTGATAGCACAACGCAATGCAAATTCTTCCATTAATGTCTGGATTTCTGACCGTTTCGATGAGACTTTTAACTCTTATTTCAAGTGTATATCATCGAATAAGTGGATGAAGGTAAATTAGTGACAGTCGTTCTATCACATCTAGGACGGCAAAAGCCATGTGAAAATGAAGGAGTTCCTTAGAAATCCGCAGTGGTTGGTATATCATTGACTCACACATACTTGGGAAAATGAAATCCCTTTAGCCGCAATTATTTGGCAAGCGAAGGAAAACAGTGCACTTTTATAACATTTATGGAAGAAATTAGAAACTAATTGCTATAGGTGGTACTTGCTCTCCGAGGCTTGCCACGTGAACATCCCACCCCAGTAGGGTTGGGAGACTATTTGAAACCATGATGACATAAGCAACCATGACGATGACTAAAGGACGTTTCCTAAACCTGTGCGAAGGAAATGAACATCAAAAGGCGAACAAAACGATGACATTAGATACGTCCAAGTTAAAATCTGTAGTGCGAGGATGGCGGCATCAGAGGAAACAACAAAAGGTGCCGCAGCGATAAAAAGGTGCGTGATGACGCCTTACAACGCAACCAGCGAACAAAACAAGGTGAACTAAAAGTGCGCAGTGCTTCATCTACAATTGCTCAATATAATCGTCTGAATGAGTTTCGTGTCAAAAAGCGACCTCGATGTCCGCTCTGAGGTAGAAAATTGCCAACCATCCAACTTCCTCATTCCCAGAAAATACCATCGCTCCAAGACAAAATCCTCGCACAAACGTGGTTGGCTATCATTGAGCAAAATGCCATCAGCTTTGTTGAAAAATCCACCACCCGACTCATATAATAAGAACTCACGTATCGGTACTTAATCTGCATGTTTTTTTCTTCTTAGACGGCTTTCAGACTCCCTTACACACAACCCAGATTAACAAAACTGCAGCCAGCCTTAAGGTTAGTTCAAGAGGGATGACCACGAACTACTAACCCACAAAACAATTCACAAACTTACACCTCGGCGAAAGATGCAACAGCACTAATTTCAGAAAGGTGTATCCTAAAAAGTGGAACACAATCGTAAGGATCCGAAGTGCCAAAAGAGGGAAATTCTGGAGGTTGAAGGCTTTGATTTGTAACGAAAACCCAAGAGACCATTGCCAATTTCGCAAAGAAACAGACCTTGCCGTAGAAGAGTCCTCTTGACAGGCCGTGAGCATTTGAGATCTGTAAGAGCGAAGAAAAGGGACCATATTAGTTTCGCCTTGATATTAGGCATAGGTAACCGAACATTGTTTTAAGGACAGAGAGGCCAATCGGTTCTTCACTTCCTGGACAAGTGAATAATGGCATCATATCCAGTGATGCAGAAACCATTCATACATACTAAACCGATGAGCTGGAAAAACATGGCAAATTAGCGTAAACACTCCTATACATCACTAAAATAGCTATTATATGGCATTTCACTTAAGACATTCAATAGTAATCCATAAACATAAATGGTCTGGGTGAAAACGCAGCTCTTACTCAGAAATACACTGAGCTCCAGTTTCCGTGAGAGTGGGCGCTACGATTCTGAAATCCAAAATATTGACCGAAATCAAAATCGAGAAGAAATATCCTCAGACAAGATCAAAACCACTTTCAAGCGATCGATCGATTGTAAAATGATGAGGAAAAAGCATCGAATCAACCGTCTAATGCACTCCATTGTCATCATAGGAAGAAACAACTTACTCATTTGGAAGTATCTGACTCTCTTCTCCTTTTAGCTGCTCGTCGATATCATTGAGTCTGTAACAAAAGAGGCACGAAGGAGGTTTCGCGAGTAAATCAGAAAACGTACCCATAAACTGACGATCGCCGTATGCGCTTGCGTCGACAGTGGGGAAGTTCCAAAGTGTTTTCATGAGGAAGGATGTTCTCAGCACACATTCGACTATGTAGAATGGCATAAATGACATAAAAGCACCATACTTCTCCTTGTCATCGGAGCTTAAATTCAACACAGACCGCCGTCTAAATATCAAGATAAAACGGTGGAATGAGGTATCCAATGCGTTGGTCCAAATGAAAGAAAAACAATTACACTTTGCTTGGGGAGGAATCTCGAAATAAACTACAGACAGCTTCAGCTGATGCAGAAGCGCCATCACCCAGAAGGTCGGATAGAAGTTCCGTCTGGAAGTCTTCGCCGAACAGGAGTCCAGATTCAGTCTAATACCCGTAACAACTTTTACCCGAACTTACTTTTGGTGTCATCGCTGTGTCAATGAGCGTTATGTCTTCCAATCGTGCTTGGAAAGAGAATGAGTTATCCAAACTAGGCATAGACTACAAAAAAGTCAAGAGGAAACCCAACTAACGATCTCAAAATCCGATTGTGGGACAACAAGTTGCCCTAGTAGATTGAAGGAGCCAAAATCATCATTCGATGCAAGTGGAATTTCAATATCGACATCACAGCACGATTTACTTCGTGATTTGCTACGGTGGAAAGAAAAACAGGTCAAAATGGATGCAGATCACCGAGGAAAAAACGCTGCACTCTGCGAAACAATAAACCGGCGTCCTAACAAAAACAGAACCAGCGTTTACCGAATGTCATCTATTTGTACAGAATGGGGTCGGAAAGTTACCAACGTCCGAGAATACAAATCATTGGCGTCACCTGTTATTCGAAATTGTTATGTAAATGCAAAAAAGTAGGAATAAAGAAAATTTGTCCATGAGAACATCAGAAGAGTAGGGATAATTGATAATCTAATCACTTACGCAAAATGATGCATACTTTTTCCACGTAGACCCTGCACAAACCATACATTAGTTGCGCTGCAAGGTATAAAGAAAGCCGAGACTTTTTAGAGCCATTAACGTAATCCAGTAGCTCGGAACTAAACAGGAATTAATAATGAATGATCCATAATACCATGAGCTCGTAACATCGACGGCAAGTATATCGCGCTTATTCACGCGTGTGAGACCACGCGTAGCTGCCAACCTTAAAAAAAGAAAGGCACCAAAGCCTTACCACAAAACGCCAAAGCGCCCCTTCCGCAGTGAGAGCAACTCATTAGAAAAGAACATACTAAGCTCGAAAACAACACGCCACGGAGACAAAAAGTGCGCCGAAGGCACAGCATATAAAAATTAGTTGAACAAAAATATCTGTAAAAGATATTTGAAATCACTTAGATTTATTAATCATGTTAATGTAAGCAGATTTTGACTCGGCTTTGCAATACATAAAGCCTATTCTGTCTCAAAAATTAGGGAAATGAAAGTCATGATAAAAATATTACTACTAGTATTACTAAAATTTATTATCACTGCGCAGTAACTTTTAAAAATTCCTCTGCTTAAAAATTCCAATAGCACTAAAATCTGATAAAATAGTCTTACTGTAAAGTTGTGTAGGTGTAGGATAGATGGCAGATCCGCGTGCGTTGCTCTTCTGCCCAAATTCTGGTAAAGATTGTGGTATATACTAATGGTTTAAGTTCGCCTTTATAGGGGAGAGGCGAGAAATCAGTTTTAACACAATCTCAGTGAGTGAAGGCTGTAAAGATACTTATTAGTGTGACAGTGGCTTTCCGCCTTATCAATTCTCCCTATTTCTTTTCTTTCTGCACGTGATTTCGAATAAAGCTTCCTCAAATAACCCTCTCCTGAAGTCCAAAGCTCAGGAGTCTGAGGGTAGGCAGGCAAACTTTACAATAGTTACATGTTTTGTTTAACCGCTTTGCTTTTAGCTAGTATGCACGTCTTGGGTAGTCATTAGCTGCGGACGCATTGCATGTTTTAAATACATCTTTTTTTTCAGCAAAATGCAACGATTTGGTTGATTATGAGAATCGATGGCGACCAGTGTAGCGTCCCGAGGCTTGCAATGGGGTAGTAGAAGGCATAAGTGAGGTTGAATACACGTATTCCGAAAGCAATAAGAGAAATGGGACCTGAGCGTGACCAGAAGGCCAGTCCACGTGTACAGGGCCCAGACAAGTCCTAAAGTAACCGCCAAACGTCATATAGTCGCATAAACAAAGCATTACAACCAGTACAACTCTTCCAGTACTTCCTTTTGGTGAGCTGACCTTTGGGTCACGCCTAAAGCTTCAAGTCTTTTGGGTTTTTTTTTTGAAATTGTGCATTTAGTCCTGGTTTCAAGTCTCCACACCTTTAATGGCGCTACACCGGTTTTAGCTAAAATGAGCGATGCTTTGTTTCACTCCATATTCTGGCTAACCTACCAGATCCATGAATGCAATAGTGTAGTAATTTGCATATAGCATCGCAATACTTCTCATTTGCTCGTAGAACACACTGCGCATGGCAGAAAGCTTCTATACATGAAGTAGAGCAAGAGGTGAGGGTTTGGCATGATTCGAAGGCCATAGAGATCAGTTAAGAGCGGAAAGCTCACCAAAGGGATCAACAAACATAGTAGTAGTTAATGGTGCAAAACATTGCATTGCTAAAACTATATCACAAAGGTCCGCGTCACGTTTGACATTCATTTATTACAAATCATTTTTGAGCAGTGATTCATCGCCAAACCCTTTGCAGACATAATATTCCACAGAATCTGTAGTCCCCGAAATTACTGGATTCAAGTCAAAGTTGAAATCCACCTTAAGCTGCTGAGAGCATTCAGTGGCTTTGACTTCAAGTGTCTTCTCTCGGTTACAAAGGTGGGCAATTGGATTGTGAGTGTTTTTTTTTAACATTAGTCAAAATAGAAAGTTGAACTGGGACATATATCTAGGATAGTGCTCGATTATAGTCCTCCATGACGAGGACTTTAGCGATTTTAATGCTTCTCCTGGGTTTATGATGACATCTAGACCACACCAAATTTGAAGCCCTTTTCTTGCTATTTAAATTGCGTACTCAAGCCCTGCATTGTGGAACGTAACACTCAATAGGAAGGCGCGGATCACCAATGCTTTATACTATGGACTGCAGTGGGGGAAGCTTCAAGGTGTAGTTGTAGTACCTGTAGGAAAATTTTGGCGTCTATATGTGGTAGCGATTTTGACACCCATCTTGCTTCTACCAGACAAAATAACCTTTAATCCGCGGCTTCTATTTGCCTAATAGAAAACTGAGAATGCTATGAAGGGGACAGAAGTAAACAATTTCGATTCTATCAGTTTTACTGCACTGAAGAAGTGTATTTTCCTTGTTTGCATAAAAGCTGATGACTGTTAAAACTGTCTAGTGGATGTTTTCTAAAGACTCCTTAACGCTGCGATAGCCGATGCAAAAAGGTGTCCGGCGGATCATTTGGTGCCTGTCGTGCCCTTTTGCGCGTGGACTGGCCTTTACACCATAGTAAAGTCCAATCCCTCATATTTCCCAAAGAATGCATGTATTAGCTCAGCGGACCCTCTCAATGCCTTACAGACACTATGTACTATTTTGCCTCTGTTTCTGTCACCGTACATCGATGACCGTAGTGTCTTGGCTCAGTGGGCTGCTTTTCGGGCCATGTCGAAAGGCTTAAGTTTATGCAAGCAATTAAACACATGGGAGTAAGAAACAGAACGAAATCGGCTTTTGATCGAAGCGAAAGGGAAGATTGCACATCGATTGTGCATTGACTGCCACAAAACATGCTAGTCCAAAAATGAATGGAAAAGCTACATACCAAACAAGGCTACCAAGCCGGTATAAACACTAATTTGTCTTAATTATTAGATTCTGTCACAAACCCTTTCAAGTTTCTTGGAATTTTACTCAGAAATTTGTGGCTCATGCTTCTCGTATTAATGCATTCATTTTTGGAAACGGCACAAACGCTTCTACACTAGTGAGAACAGGTTCCACTTGGTTGCGCTAAGCGAGTGGTACGAAAATCAATAGTGTAGCGCTCCAAGACTTCGCATTCGGTGGAAGAATATGATAAACCAGACTAAGCTCCTGTACTCTAAAACGGTAGGAAGAGAATGCACCTTGGCATGGCCCAAAGGCCAATTCAGGCGTGCAAGGGTAAGAAGAATACGGAAATGACAGCCAATCGTCAGGAGGTATCTGTAGCGTCCCGAGGCTTCCCATAAGGTGAAAGAACGCATAACTGAGGTCGAATACATGTACTCCGAAGACGACAGGGCAAATGGAGTTTGAGCGTAGCCCAAAGGCCAGCCCACATGTACAGGGACCAGAAAAATTCTAAAGTGACCGCCAAATGTCAGGTAGTGACATAAACAAAGAATTCAGTGGTGCAAAAACAGAATACATGCGAATTATTCGACTTTTTCATGGGCTGAGAATTTGCTTTGCAAGAATTAGCGAACATTTGCTTTTTTACAAATCCGAAATTAATAAATAAGATGGTTACAATTAACCTCAGCTTTATTTATTTTTTTTACTACCCACTTACGTGCTCTAAATTTGGTCTTTAAATACAGTTTTCCACCTCTGAAAACGGTTGAAACCATGGCTTTTGCTAGACCAATCCACCCCTGGTACATATACTAGCGTTTGTGTGCATTGATATCAGAGCAATATGTGCGCACCTGCAGAGAAGACTAAGTTGCTGACTGAGGAACAGATAGTTGAGGGGTTTCAGAAGCTGCGTTATGAGCAGAGAGCCATAGCTAGTAAGATTACTGGACTCGAGATGGACCAGAGAGAGCATAAGTAAGAAGGCAGTTATGTGATGCTGCATTGTTCCTGTGTGTGAAATTCCATGAGTGCTTGTTCTCTTACTTGCGTCAACGGTTTTCAAACACTGAGAGAGTGCAGAAGTCCTTTTTATTAACTATCTTGAACTAAGATTAATAGGTGATGCCACTCCAACAAACTGAAAACATTTCGGTTTTATTAAGTGTATTATCACTTTCGTTGCATTTACCTCACCCCTCTTTTGTATCCGGCTTTTTTATTCGATCTTCGTACTATCGGAATTTTTGTTTCAAGTTAGTTGCCTTCCACTATGAATAGTATCCAAAGCATCACAACTTTTGCATTTATTTTACGATAATAATTTTTATAGTTATTCCCTCTTGTAGCATGGTCATAAAGGTGCTAAAGAACGTCGATTCTGAACGAAAATGCTTCCGATTAATCGATGGCGTACTTGTTGAACGGCAGGTGAAGCATGTCCTTCCTGCGCTCATAGCAAATGAAAAGAAGGCAAGTCCATTTTGTCCATTATCCCGTTTTAATTGAAATATGTGAGGAATTCTACGACACTTTATTGAGGCCACACAAATTAAATCTGAAAGTTTATGCTGATTATTGCTAGAACACTGGTTTTTTCTACGTAACTACTAGCTCATTTTCGGATCCCTGTCTTGAGGTTCGCTTTGTGTTTTAAGTGGATGCGAAACTTTATTCATTCGTTGTGTGGCCGGAAAAATATTTGTTTATTGAATCACACTCCAACGTGAAAGCTAGTGGATTGCTAAATTGCTGCGTAAACTGATTCCTCTTGCGAGTTTCTACTACACTTTTCTCAGTTCTTTAAGGTCTCAAAATTACCTGTTAATTCTATTCCCTGGAAAGACTCTTGTCTTTCTACGAAACGTTCCGTTCCGTTGGTTTCGATTTTGTGTGCTATTGCGTTGTCAACAGACAATGTGTAAGATTTATTGCTCCCGACCAATACATGCCAGCCACTATTTTAAAGATCAAGTTCTATCCATTTTTGGTTTATTTTGTAGCGGCTGTCAATGAAATTCATTAAAGTAGTTCTTTGAATCTGTATTGCTTCATGACAAATCAGTAATTTGTCATTGCTTAAAATTTTCGGCATTATAAATCTTCTGTAAGCTTTAGAAAAATGGCACTATCGTAAGTGATCTGAAGCGTCAGCATCTGATTTCTTGTGCTCAAGGAAAGACATTCGTGTTTGGCCACTGGTTAAATCTTGTCTATTGCGAAAATACAGTAGCTTGGTGTTTCTTTTTCGGATGTTTGAGTTTCGTGCTGTTGTAATGGAATGAACACTTATTGAAGTCTATTTCATTCTTTCATTGGAGTGAACTGCAGTCATTTTTGTCTGAAACAATAATAATGCGCCCCAATTTGGTTGTTTAGACGTTGCACTTGGATCCTATTATGCATTTTGGCTAACAAAGCCTTTGCTGTATCGATTGAGCTAGCGTTTTATTTTGTGTAGTCAACTGTACTCAATTTGATTGTTTCGCTCTCTCTTTACTGCAATTCCACCTTTATCTCATTAACATCTTTTTATTTACCCATGCAAAACTCCTTCAAACTGTGTACCAAGCCTCACATTTCCATCATATTGAGCTCACTAAAACTAATGTTTGATTATGACTTCTCTCTACTCTATTTGTTAGAATTGAGTCATTTTGACTGAAACATCGAAGTGTTTGCAAAGTGGCCTTTCATCTGCTACACAATTAGTTTCGTAGACGAGCTGATGCGCTAACCAGTGACAGAAAAGGGAATTTGGCGTTTTGTGTGAGTGGGACAATTAACTTAACCTTTTTTGCATTCTCGAAAATGAAAATGAATCGCACCTCCCACACAAAAATTCGCATTTCTGGTCCATGGTAGTTTCTCCTTCCATGAAAATTGCGAAAGCAAAAGGTTACTGTGTTTGGGTGAGCTTGGGAGCTACGTTTTCTTCATTCCATTGGAAAATTCGATTGTTTAGGGACTGGTGTTTTATGAATCCTCATATATATTGGTTTTTTCTCCGAGATGTAATGGTGGACAAGACTAATGAGATTTATTGTCTAATACCTCCTGAGAGTGTCTTTAGGGTTGGCGGTGCTCTTTCTGTGAAACAGCAGCGCATTCACGCTTTGTATTTCTTACTTCCGAAAAATAATTTCCTACTCGCATCACCGATCGGCACTGCTCGTTTGGTGTTGGAGGGTTGCACTTTAAAATGCCATTTTATGGACGTTTGGCGCTTTAGATACCTAGTCTTTGTTTGATTTTTGGTTGTTTTTTTTCCAAATGAACGACAAAATGAATGAAGTCAAGTTATTTTTGATCTTTGTATGTGGTAACTACACCTCCCATTGCAATTTGGGCCTAATGTGGTGCTGAATATGCGGATATACGTCTTTCCTGTCACTTATTCATCTTTTGTTTGTTGTCTTTTATCTATGGTTAGCTAACCATATGCAGATTGTTCGTCTTATGGACTCCTTGTCATATTTTAGAACTTCCCGAAGACTTAAGCTAACGAGGCCACTTCATTTATTAAATGGCTGCTATTCTTCACCATCGCCATTTATTTGCCGGTATTATTACACCTCTTAAATGGAGTCGGATAAATGAACTTCGAACTTGATGCGACCATCGGCGCTTCGAGCTTAGGGCCTCTCACGCAGATTTACCATCACACGGCTACTGTGGGAGAGTTTAACCAGCCCAACTTTTAAGTCCTTTGTTCTGAGTGATAAAATAGGTTTTCTCACACGCCTTCGAGTTATTGCCCGTCGAGTAAGTGGGCCGCTGTCGTAATAAATGACGTTTGAATGTTGACAAATGAAGGACCTTGCCTCCAAACCCTCATTTGCACGCGTACGAGCACGCACACCCTTAAGGAAGGAAGTATGTCCAACCAGTACTGGAGTGTCAATGCCATTTCTAATCACAAGGCAGTCAGCTGCCAATTTGGGAATGGCGTACCTTTGTAAGGTGAAAGACGTGATAAACGAATGATTAGATTGGACTATTGTTATCAGAGAATCATGATTTCTCACACCACCTTGAAAGTAGTTGCTTTGATGCACTAATCAACGCGAGATCTGAAACTCAATGCTTCCGTTTGATGTTTCAAAGGGCTTCGCTTCAGTCTATACTTCAAGAATGGCTGTACGACTTCTAATTTAAGTGCCTCTTGACTTGAAGCTTGTTTAATCATACTTTATAGATGGCTGAGGCTCTAGAGGTTCTACGTCGCCAATTTGACGAGAAAGGAATAGAACTTCAGGTTTACAAGGAGGAGCACAAGATCCGTTTGGCTGGTGAAGAGCCTGTTGACAATGGTAGTGGCGGTACTGCTGCTAGCAGCAGTAGCAGCGGTGAAAAGGGGGGTGGTGGTGCCTCATCAGCCTCCGCTTCCTCTGGAGTTCTTGTCACGTAGACCGGCTCCTCCTTTCCCCTTGCAATCCCTGGCATTCCACTTTCTCACACTACTTCTTCCCATCCCTGCCGTTCAACCTTTACTCCTGCTGCTTCTGTGTGCCCTCCTTGCCTGTACTAGTGTACGCACATGCTTCTCTGTAACCTACTTAATTAACTTCATAAGTAGTTGTTGCAAATGTTGATCTGGTGGAGTTATACGTGTCTCTTGCTTTGCAAAAGCAGGTTGTTTTAGTCAGGCTATGTGTAAGGATCTTTCGAATTTTCGGTCCTTCTGCCACCATCTTTATAGCATTACTTACATCATTAGTCGCTAAATTCTGTAGTTTGGATCTTTGAGGTCAGCTTACTGAACAGACAAAAGCAAATAACATTTGACTTGGGGTCTTAGATAATGCGCCGGGCCCTTGAAAATATATAACTTTGCATGGTTTGAGACGTTTGCGGGGAAACAATGGGACCAAAAGCTAATCCAATCCCGAGTATGCGATCCTCAACTTCCCACTCTGAATCGTTGAATGGCATCAAACGGTTTGTTGAGTGCCCCCAAAGCAAGCAGTTGAACAGCAGTAGGAAAGCGAATTGGAGAAAGACCAGAACTTGTTGATGGGAGTACTTTCAACTGTTTGACTTCGGAGTATGGTCGACATGAGATACTCTCGAGTGGTTGCAGTGCCTGCACTCGGATTGACCTTTTGCGAGTAACCACCCAGAAGTCACATCAGCGTGAAGTGAAATAGTTAAGTTAAATCCATTCTTTTATTTGGCTTAAAATTTGGGCGTTACTGACTAATTAAGATAGGCCACAAGAGCGCACCAAATCCCAACCCATGACCATGATAGAAGGAGAGACTACATACAAATAAAGTATTTGTTTTAGCATACTCCACTGAGGCAGTTCGCTCTACCCTCACTCGATTTCATTTCGAAATCAGCAGGACGGCATGAGGGTATGAGCAAAGATGAGAAACGGGGAGAAGGCAATAGGTCACAGGGGGTCGGTTAGGGGATGAGTGACTAAAGCCGGTACACAGACGCACGCACATACGCAGGAAGTAAAGTGTGTTCGAAAGGGGACGTGAGAGCTGACTAAGAAGTGGATGTTGAAGTCTCACTCCGGGCATCATACACAAATATGTAAAGAGAGTGAGAAGGGGAGAAAACTAGAGCTCTCAAGTTAAGTGTAGTATCCATGATGGCGGCAGAAATGTGACATGTGTATGCGTGTGCATTTTGAGCGAAAGATGAGCGGGAAATGAGCCTCCTCGGGCTACGAGGAGGCCGGCTACACCTAAAGCACGGGAGAGTGCAGATCTACTCATCCACACCAAATACGGCTTCCATGCGTCGAAGTACAGTTTGCACCACCTGTCGTAGAACTGAGGGCTTCGAAGACTCGTCATTTTCGTCGGAGTATGTAGGTGCCTTTCGCTTTGGTTTTGGTGCTTTTCCAAAAACCGATTTCACCTCGTCGTCATCAGTGTCGCTATCAAGTACCGGCCGCTTCTTCGCCGGCCCTTTCTCTGAAAGAAAATGGATGCACAAATATTGCGTTTTCTGGTCAATCAGATTTAGCCGCATTTCGTGCATAATGGCATGCAGGTGAAGGAAGCTCTAACATGATGTAAATGCTCTTCAAAAGAGGCAGGATTTTGACTAGTTCAAGCATAGCGTCCAAAAAGGATGGCTCAACATCACCTCGCAATGGAATTAATTGATCGTTGTCAGTTGAATAGTGAACTGATATCAAACGGAGATGGAAATATACGTCACCCCCCTTGACAAAGGACATCAAAACCTGAGGATAACGGATTTAAGTGGTGACAGTACAGTTTGGGCACTTTCAAAGTGAAAACGTCCTATTAATAACCCCGCAGAGGAGGAACGTGTATTTAGATGTGGACTAATTGAGCAAAGGAAATAGGTACAGGAAGACAGCGGTAAAAGGCTGCCATTTGACAATAACCTTTTAGACGAGCCTTGAATGTCCGCAAGGAGATCAAGGCGATGTGTGTAGATCTCAAGTTACCTCCCTGCAATGACCTGCAGTAGGTTGTGCGGATGACGGCGCGTGTCTACCTCATGGAGCAGGTCGTTTTGTGCCACTGAGGCCTCATGACGTGGGTAATGGACTGCGATGGCAAAACTGGAGAACGCATTAAGGGCGACGTGATCAGAAACCCTCTGATACACCAAGTTTTGATAGGCATTTTAATCATAGTCGCGGTTGTCAATTGTGACCTATCATGTAAGATCAGCATGCCAAAGTCTCCTAGCATTACTGTCCTCGGGAAATGAATTAAGTATGCACTGTTTGCAACCACCGAAAATAAAAATTGTGGAAAATGCTAGACAGATGCGTATCCACAAACATGCATTAATGAAGAGCAGCGTGTTCCAAAATTGACTTCCTCATCTTTAGCTCTTCTCGTACTTCAATGAAAAGGTGTTGATTGTTCTCTACGAGAGTAGCTTTTGATGCGACGTGTCTTCCCACGCCCCAACCCTCTACCACATCCACCAAGTCATCCGCAACCGACCATGCGCGAACTCGCCTTCTTCGACCAAAGCATCGCATTGCAGTGATTCTCACACCAAAATGATGCTTCTATTTTAGAGAAGCACGGTTGTGGTCTCCTCACTACCACAACAAAATAACTAAATTAAATCGAACATCGTGTAATTGAAATGAGGTATGAAAGTGTCTGAGGACTCCGCACACATACAGCAGAAACCATGCGGGTCTGTCATGTTTTGGACAGAACTTTGAAGGTCTTCTTATAGGGTTGATTGAAAAAAAAATGGAGCAATTAGTACCATTGAAGGAATTCACTCCTTTCCAGTAGTAGTAACCGTTTGAACCACTGATTAGTTGCTGCGTTTTTGTGACAACATCAAGAGGCATTCAGGCCTTCACTGAAGCATTCCTAACGAAACAGATATCTGCTAAAATTGATATCAGGAGACACCGAAGCCATGCTTGGGCAGGGCGATGGGAGAGATTAGAGCACTATGGGTGGTTATTATTACCATTAATTGATTAGTAGGTGCTGGTAGCACCCTTGTCAACCCAACAAACCTGAGAGCATTGGGCTCAGAGTGATTTGAATATGCGCTCGGATGGTGGATAGGAGGTAGGAATTACTCAGTGCCTCATCGTCTCCTGCCCTCTTCACCTTCCTTCCCGATGTCATCACTTTGGCTGTAAGAAATAAGGCGTGATTTCATTGTCTTCGTCAACTATGGACTCAATCTTTCAAAGCATCTCTCCATAGGAGGATGGAACAAGAATCACTCGCACAAATCAAATCCCAAGAGGGTGGACTGTGTGCTTGTGGAATGATTTACTGCCTAACAGAGATGAAGCCCTTGCTCCCCCTTCTCAATAATGCTAATTGCATACTTTTCAAGCTCGTACAATCCACAAACTCATCAAAAGAGCCTTTTGCTTTAATAAATGAAAGGGTTTACGAAGGAATGCATTACCTAAAAGCAGAGGTTAATACATTCGCAAACTAAGCCATTAACGTTAACTGCTTAATGAAATCAGCTAACAAAGCAAAATACTTAATAAGTAAGTTTCCGGAAGAAGGAGATGAGGCATGATTAAACCACTAGCTTGGATGATGACGATGACGAGAGTCAGTGCCGTAATCTAAGTATTTGCGTAGCTAGGGAGACCACGGTCTGGAAGACAACCGTTCAGAAGAAATCGTCATTTTGACTACAAAATCCAAACTAATGCACACTTGGCCCATCCGAGACCAGGCAACCTCAAATATGCCCATCCATAGAGGAGATGGAATTAGATTTGCATTTCCTCCTTATTTAGGGGTTCAAAGAAGATCTGTTTTGAGTGCTGAAATCGAGGAAGAAAGTAATAACTATCTGAAGGCAAACACTTGGGAAGCCAAAATGAATCCAAAGAACTACAACAAAAAATTTCTTTGAGTGAAAAAAGCCAAGGTATTTGAAGTACTACATTCCCCGACTGATGCCCAAGCTCCTAACGCCCGAACATAAGGCGATGTGAGATAACAACTCGTCTTCGCCATGATTTTCAGGACACCGAATTCCCTTGTAATGGTAACAAGCATTCATTTTGAGTGTTGAACTAACGAGCATAACAGGTGGACTACGGTCTACATCAACGGTCATGCGATTACCGGGTTTGATCGATGGCTTAGCAAGAGTTTGAAAGGCTAAAAATTCATGGAAGTGCGATCAGAATGAAGACTTGCGCATGCATGGAGTCTGAAGGCATAAAGCTATAGTGGAATTACTCGGATCAGTGGCCGGTTTTGTCGGTTTTGTGATCGGAGGCGGTTTCGCGGTTATTGGCTTTCCAGCTGAAATGCATAAAAGCACCAGGCGATATGGTGGGGCTGAAGAACCTTCTAATGGATATTTATTTTCACACTGCTAAGACAAGAGTGGATTTGCAGTTCAAACCTGAACGAACAAAGGATTTTGCGTGATCAATCTCTTGACGAAACAGAAGATGATCGGGCGATAAAATCACTCCTTCTTTGCAATAAGCTTCAACGCAAGATTAAAATTAGCTCCAATGATTTCGAGAAAGTGGTCTCGACTCGTTTCAGAAACCAGATTTAGTCACATTCTTTACCGAATTTTGTGATCAAAAACATTTGTCTGAGTTCGGTAATGGGCCAATCGGTTAATCAGCCAGTAAAAAACGAACCGATGAAAGGAACCGGAACATAGGCGTAAAGACAAGGCTAACTCACCTATCTTTGTGGGCAATTGTGGGATTTTTCTGGGAGGTCGAGTCTTCTCCTGTCTGTCAGGGATTCCATCGCCATCAGAATCCTCTTTGTCATCTGGGATACCATCCCCATCATCGTCGTTGTCGAGGTAGTCAGGGATCCCGTCGTTGTCATCATCAGTGTCCATAAGGTCGATAATGCCTATGAGAAAGCGATAGACAAGCACTCTAGTCTCCTTCAGTTCAACTTCTGCACTGGTGCCACACAACTCCATTTATACTATTGATGCTACCACCCCCTCATTGTCAAAGTAGGCGCATGAAGGGGCGACACAAGCAAGTGCTCAAAGTCATCTGGGCTGCCACAACAATCCAAATGCAAGAAAATTTCTGGACTTTTGCCCCACAGATGAGGTTATTCAAACCAACAACATACCATCACCATCGGAATCCTTCATTTCCATTGAGTCAGGAACCGAATTCATATTCTCGTCTTCCTCATCATCTGGAATTCCTGTGAAATTTAAAAACATGTTAAATGGTCAATTTTGTGAAAGTTTACACACTATGTCATTACAGTGGGGTAAGTTAAAATAGGAGGAACAAAAAATAGTTTGTGACCAAATTTGCCCTTACCATCATTATCATCGTCATCATCAAGGTGATCAGGAATCCCATCATTATCGTCATCGTCGTCTAGATAGTCGGGAATCCCATCACCATCGGTATCCTTTGCTTCCAAATAATCCAGCATTTGATTTCCATCTTTGTCTTCGTAAATATCGGGCATCCCATCGTTGTCATCATCATCGTCTGATACGATAAAACCCAAAAGTAACAGTGTATCACCTTGATTTGACCAAAATTAATGCCTTTCCATGTTTTGATAAAATGTTAGCTTAAAGGGAAGAAGCTCAAGCGTTGAGTTGGAAGCTGCTATGCCAAGGTAACGATCGCCATCATGCACCACACTATGCGGCGTAACTTGAATGAGGCACTACTTAATTTAAATAAGTACAAGTGGTGCGTACGATTATTCACAAGTGCGGTGCACAAAAGAGGGAGTGAATCACAAAGCACATCTCGGAAGCAGACAGGCAAGTGAAAGCAGACTGTCCAAGTTGCTAGTGTATATGAGTGCGTGGTTCCACAGTTAATGCTGCGTGCGTGCAGGGCGAAGAGATATGAAGTACCTTCGACATCTGGAATCCCATCATTGTCGTCATCTTCATCATAGAGATCTATCACCCCATCACCATCAGTGTCTTTCATCTCTAAATGATCTGGGCGCCAGTTCTTATTTTTGTCAATCACTAAAACAAGGGAGAGTACACAATAAAGTTATTTTGACATTTTACGTTAAAAAAAAAATGGCAACCATCGACCTACCCTTCCTATACCCAACTATCGGTCGATTGGGAACTTTGGTAGAGGTCACTGGTGGGAGTCCCTTCTTTCCTCGAAAAGCTTGAGAGTCTTCATCAAGGTAGTCGGGAATCCCATCCCCGTCCTCATCTTCCTGATAGTCTGGAATACCATCACCATCAGAATCACCTTCAAGATCATCGGGAATGCCATTGCCATCGTCATCATCATCGAGATAATCGGGAATTCCATCATTGTCGTCATCGTCGTCCAAATAATCGGGAATACCATCACCATCAGCATCTTCTTTGTAGTCAGGAATCCCATCTCCATCTGAATCGCCTTCTAGGTAATCTGGAATACCGTTGCCATTATCATCAGTGTCTAGAGCATCTGGAACCCCATCGTTATCGTCATCGTCGTCGAGATAATCAGGAATACCATCCCCATCACTGTCTTCCTGCTCATCTGGAACACCATCTCCATCATCATCTTCATCTTCGGTATCTGGAATACCGTCATTATCATCATCATCGTCCAAATAGTCAGGGATTCCATCACCATCGGAATCCTCCTTATAATCGGGAATCCCATCGCCATCAGAATCTCCCTCCAAATGATCTGGAATCCCATTTCCATCAGCATCATCATCAAGATAATCCGGAATGCCATCACCATCTGCATCTTCTTTGTAGTCAGGAATTCCATCTCCATCAGAGTCCTTTTCTAGATAGTCAGGAATCCCATTCCCATCCACATCAGCATCAAGCTGATCCGGTATTCCATCGTTATCATCATCCTCATCCAAATAATCTGGAATACCATCACCATCCGAATCCTCTAGGTAGTCAGGAACGCCATCGCCGTCATTGTCACCTTCCAGGTGATCTGGAATCCCGTCACCATTAGAGTCCTCATCTAAGTAGTCTGGAATACCATCACCATCTTCATCCTCCATGTAATCCGGAATACCGTCTCCATCACTATCACCTTCCAAGTAATCAGGAATTCCGTTTCCATCATCATCATCCTCATCGTCATCGACACCGTCACCATCCACATCATCATCTAGGTAGTCAGGAATACCATCACCATCTTCGTCTTCCATATAATCAGGAATTCCATCTCCGTCAGAATCCCCTTCCAGATCATCCGGGATCCCATCATTATCCTCATCCTTCATTCTCCTTGCCCTCACAAGCTTCCATGATAATTTATTCTTCTTTCGATTGTCTTTTTTATCCATGTAATCTGGAATACCATCATTGTCCGCATCCTCAAGGTAGTTCGGGATACCGTCGCCATCCCAGTCCTCAAGGTAATCGGGAATTCCGTTGTTGTTAGTATCCTGTTGAAACACATCATCATTAAAGTCAACGTCATCATCATTATCATCGGAAGGAGCAACAATAGGAAGATCCGTATCGATGCTGGCATCAGTGTCAAGATAATTTGGAATGCCGTCTCCATCTTGATCCTCCAAATAGTCAGGAATTCCATCACCATCAGAATCCTCCAAATAGTCAGGGATACCATCACCATCTGAGTCAACCGTTAAGGCGTCAGGAATCCCATCGCCATCCTTGTCGATTTTTGATGAAAGTTTTGCCTGTTTGAAGTGAGTCAGTGTGAATATACTTGGGTCTTCATCCAGATAGTCGGGAATACCATCGCCATCAGCATCTTCAAGATAATCAGGGATTCCATCACCATCAGCATCTTCCAAGTAATCGGGAACTCCATCACCGTTGGCGTCACCCTCAAGAGCATCGGGGATTCCATCGCTATTCTCGTCTTCCAGATGATCCATAACACCATCACCATCACTGTCAACAAATCGAGCCAACTTCTGCGTTTGCTTGGGTATCTGATGAGTAGCGACGTCTAAGTCAATGCAATCTGGAATGCCATCGCCATCAGCATCTTCTAGGTAGTCGGGAATTCCATCATTATCACTGTCACCAGCGCAAGAATCAGGAATGCCATCTTTATCCCTATCAGTTAGCACAAGCTTCTTCACTCTTGTTTTCATGTAGTACCGACTGTCTTTGTCCATATAGTTTGGAATACCATCTCCGTCCGAATCATCAAGGAAATTCGGGATGCCGTCATCATCATCATCCTCCATTAGGTCCGAGATTCCGTCGTTGTCAGAATCAGCAACAGTGAGACGTTTACCATGACGCGATTTGCCACTTTTACCCTTTTTAGTAATTTTTGGGGCTTGTGGTTTTGTCTTTACCTTCTTCGGGACGGTGGGTTCATCATCGAGGTAGTTTGGAATTCCATCGCCGTCTGAGTCTTCCAAGAAGTTGGGGATCCCATCGTTGTCATCATCTTCGAGGAAGTTTGGGATCCCATCTCCATCATCATCCGCCAAGTAGTCCGGGATCCCATCTCCATCTTTATCACCCTGAAGATGATCCGGAACACCATCGCCATCGCGGTCGACATGTTTCGGAAGCTTTTTTGCCTTCAAGACAAAGAACTTGCTATCACGGTCTAGCATATTAGGTATCCCGTCACCATCGTCATCCTCATAGTAGTCTAGCATTCCATCCTTGTCATCGTCAGTTAGGAAATCAGGTGCCCCATCAGAGTCTGAGTCCACTTCCAACACATCAGGAATTTTGTCTCCATCAGAATCCAACATTTTAATTAACTTCATATAGAATTGATAGCGCTGAGAAAATGCAGGAGTGTCTTCATCAAGATAGTTCGGGATTCCATCACCATCCTCATCTTCTAGATAGTCAGGAATGCCATCTTTGTCGGAGTCTTTCAAGGAAGGCTTCGATTTGGATACATTAGTCTGCTTGCATGACCCATCCTTCTTAGAGCACGCAGCCGGCTTCTTTACAGCTTCTGCTTTGTAGAGTTTGTGATCCTTGTCCAGGTAATTAGGAATGCCATCCCCATCATCGTCCTTTAGATAATCGCTGATGGTTTCACCTCTTGACATCTGTTTCTTGCCTGTCTGCTTTGGAGGCACTTTGGGTTTCTTTACAACCGCTACTGGAGGCTTTTTAACACTCTTCTGAAGCAGTCTTCGACCAAAGAATGGTGGAACATCATCTTGAACAAACTCCCCTAAGTTAAAAAGGGACAGAAAACAAGATGGATCAACAATTCCCTTCAGTACAATAGAAGTCTCAGCAAGATGTTAAGGGGACACTACCACCGACTGATCATGCCCGCGCAAGCAACCATCATGCTTTTGCTAAAATCCGCCCATGCAACCATGCTGTCAGCACAAACCACCCTCTCGTCTCTCTCTACCTTCTTCATCGTCGTCACTCTCATCACCTCCATCAGAAAATGCACCAAAATCGCGCATGGAAGGGAATTGTTCCGAGCCCTCAGCAGTATCGAATACCAGGACATCGTTATCAACGGATAAGGAATAAGAGGCATCGTCTTCTACCTCTTCGTCGAAATCATCCTCGAATTCGTCATCGACAGATTCATCATCCTAACGTTTAAACGCAATTAAGCATAAATTTGCTAAACGCGTCTCAACGAAGGCAGAGTTTTACACTTCACTTTTACAACTGCCTTTTTTAAACTTGGGTTATGTCACTTCTAGCCAAGCATCTCCTCTCCGGCATTATACAACAAGCATCTTTGAACCTCCCAATTTCACTCAAAATCGGCACCGGTACCACCACACTCATTGAGAATGAGCAGTCTCTTGTCGTGTGACGAAGTATGCCAAATGGTAGGAGGAATGCAAACATTGGAGGGTGGAATGTACGACAATTAGCCACACTGCCCAATCGCTTCTTCGTAAGTATTCTTTAGAGGGTGTTAAGAAAGAGGAAATGACCAAAGCTCACGACACGCTCGTAAAGGACAAGTGGACCCTCAACGGCTTTGCAACACTAGAAGTCTAGTGTACAATAGGGATAGAGAGCATCGACCAATGGAAGCAGAAAGTCAAAATAAATGATCCATTTGGATAGAAATGTGGAAAAAAAAAAGATGTATTCCAGTGATAATTTGTAGAGCATGCTGAAACGTTCACCAACGGCTTGTAGTAGACTAACCGAGTTTAGGTAAATGACAAACAGTTTAAACTTACTGCTTCACTGTCTGCTTCTACATCCAAATCTTCCTCATCAAAGAGGTTTTCATCACCTCCGTATCTCCTCAGATAGAGTCCCGCCAGTTTTCTTTTGCCCATCTGTCCTGTTGGTATACTTACTTTGCCCGTAGGATTCTTCTTCACAAAAGTTGCCTCTGTTTTCATCCTCTTCGGAGGCACAACCTTCTTCGCTGGAGCTGTTTGTGTCACAGTCATCATCTTCTTTCCCATCGGATGAGTGATGATTGGTGCTCGTGTACTCTTCACAAATTGAGTCGGAGTGGGCTGCAATACACTTGGATCCATGAGTGCACGAATGCGATGAAGTCGATGATCGACTGCTTCCTTCAGTCGGGTTAATGCATCCTCCTCCTCGGTCAATTGACGAACCTTGATCACTTTCTTTATAGTTCCACCAAAACTTCGAACTACGTGGTAGCGCACTGACTTATTGCGATTGCAATCAGGAATTCCATCCCCGTTTGCGTCGGGATCCAGATAGTCTGGAATGCCTGGAAGAAAAAGAAATAAAACAATTAGACGTCAAGTATGTCTACGAGTCGCACCATCATTATCATCATCGTCGTCAATGTGATTGAGTAGACCATCCCAGTCAGAGTCTTGTGTTCGATCAATCTTTCCATCATTATCCATATCATCGTCCTCTTCGTCTGGAATTCCATCACAATCCTTGTCTCCCGGATCACCCAAGTCAGCCGCCATTGTGTTTGCCTCGTGTTGTGCTTGTTGAGCTAGGAAAAAAGACCGCATTTTATTGAGAGTATAGAGCAGTCAAAGAGGTCCATCACCATGATCAGGCGGAAAGGCGTTTGATAAGACAAGATGATAAATTAATAGCTGAGATTGATAGCAAACGCATGAGGTTAGATGAGGTGACTACGGATCACGATGTCCGAAAAGACACCAAGACTAACCCGTCATAGCTTCGAGATTTTTAGGTTTATACATTAAGAAGGCCATATGATCAGGGTCCAAGTGGTCAGGAATGCCATCATTGTCGTCATCATCGTCCAGATGGTCCGGAATACCGTCACCATCAGAATCTCTTGGTTGACAGTCGGGTATACCATCACCATTTGAGTCCTCGTCTTCAGAATCTAGGAGAAACGATACAAGTCAATGGCAAATGACGGCTTGGTCCAATGAATTTTTATTTCAGACTAAGGAAATGGTTCTTTCAGGTCATACACTATTCAATCCATGTTCGCTTTAGTTAACTTCTCCTCACTGACAGAAAAGACAGATTGCGGAAAACTCACCAGGTATACCATCATTGTCGTCGTCATCATCCCATTCGTTGAGTATCCCATCATTATCGCTATCCTAAAGGCACATACGAAGCACATTATTTAATTTACCTCTATTGGAGTACCACGTTCTCTTTGCTACAAAGCTTAGTATTCACCTGCTTGTTGTCAAAGAATCCATCGTTATCATCGTCAGGATCGATGATGTCTGGAATACCATCACAATCATGATCCTGGAGGTGGTCAGGAATGCCATCATCATTCATATCATCATCAATGGCATCCGGGAACCCGTCACCGTCAGAGTCAATACCAAGGCCTCGAACTCCATCGGTGTCAAGATGGTCAGGAATTCCATCGTTGTCATCGTCTCGGTCGAGAATATCTGGAATTCCGTCCTAAAACCAAAGGAGAAACTGGGGCCTAATTTTCCCTTCAAGTTGGTCCACGCATTCAGTGATTGGTAGTTTAGTGGACCAATTCCAAAATACGGACGAACATGAGACAATTTGTTGGAGCGTCCACTTATCCGACTTAACTTTCTGATTAATTGCCTACTGTTGGGCAAAGCTGACATTAACGCTAAGCTTCACAGCCGAACTGATGCATGTTGACATCCCATTTAAGTGAACGGCAAGCACAGTCGCATTTAAGTGCACATTTATTCATCAGCACAGACTACAGCAGCCCTGAACAAGGAGACTTTAAAAGTGAATACCCTTCCAAACTGAGTTGGTTTACTGGGGCTAGAGGAGAAACTACAGTCCCAGGACATTGAAAAGACGTGAAATAGGACAAGCCTCAAATAAATTAACTCAATTTGTGTTTTAAGATTCAGTCACGTTGGAGGCAGCTGGAAGGCGCCTGAAAAATGTAGCGGTTTAATTTTTATTTGGCTATTGTCAACCTTTCGATCCCTAAGGATTTCACTTCCACTCTGCGCCTTCAGCACAGTGTCAACGTTAACTCGCAGACCTTCTGTTTAGTGGAAGCTTTCCTTTTTACCGCTCACGTGTTTATCAAAACATAGAAAGAAAATGCAAAAACCTTACTTGACAACCAAATCCAAAGCAAAATTTATGCAATTCAGTAAAATTATGGAGACATTAATTGAAACACTCAAAAAGTTAAATGAGCTTACATTATCGCTGTCACGGAAGAAATTGAAGAATTTGTGATTTGGGTCTTTGAGGTCCGGAATACCGTCGTTGTCATCGTCGGTATCGATGTGATCGGGAATCCCATCGCCATCGGAATCCTAAAGGCCACACAGTCTACTTAAATCCAAGTCAGTAGTACAACGTTTGCCTCTCCCCAGCTCTAATGTGCACCACAATTTCGGAAATGTTGGCACTTTGCATTTCCCCACATCTCATAAGTCATTCAATGGAGCCTTCCAAATTGCCTCTAACAGTAGCAAAAAGGTGACTGCTATTTTCAGCGGCGGTGGTAAATGTGAAACAGATAAATAAAATTGTGCTACAGCAGTCACCGTTAAGACCTACAAAACTTTTTTTGGTCAAAACAAATGTAAACTGGAAAATCAAACAATTTAGTTTGTTGAAAGACCGGCTCCAACCATCGGTTGTTGAACCTTAGTTACATTTGTTATATGTCTCTATGTCCTTGCAAAGCCTCAGATAAGGAGGCAGTGCATACTCGTCTACAGCTCGCTCTTTTCGTCGCTCTTCCTTGAAAAAAGGGAAGAAGTGCCTCCTACTTATCTTCCAAGCATGCTGCGATCTCAATCCCAATCAGTAAATAATATTCGACAGGATAACAAGCACATCTATAGCGGAGCAGTGCACACTTTACAAGTAGGTGGAAGACGAATTTTTGTGATAATCAACTACTTGTTGACCTGCTTACCAATGGAGTGAGATTGTCCACGGGGAAACGGTTTTTTTGATGGCCTTCAAAATCCATGATTATCTGCTATTAGTCAGGAGCAGCACCAGGAATACGTGATCTCGAAGGGTCAAAAGGAGGAAACCTTACTGAATGCAGCGTGCCAATGTGGAAAGGACTGCTCATCACCTTCAAAACTCTAATGACCCACTTTTGGTATCTTTTCAAATACTCCATTAAGGGGAATGGGCAAGGAACTTTTGTAGTTCTGTTGGAAGTATGGGTACAAATTAAGGAGAAAAGGGTGCAACATCAAGGGAGACAATATCTATACATGGATGCGGAAGTTGACACCGGATGGACTTTCCCACTCTCAGACAGGGGAAAAAATTACCTGAATGATGCAATCCGGAATACCATCTCCGTTTGCATCCAAATCCTCAATATCAGGGATGCCATCATTGTCATCGTCGTCGTCGTATTCGTTGAGGATGCCATCTCGATCACTGTCCTGGAAAAGCAAATTCGTTTAGAAGAGAGGATTTCACAAGCTGCATTCCTATTAAATGACAACTAAACAAACCAATAGAGTCAACGTTAGCTCCTGTAAGATCATCAATTTGCCAGTATGCGCATCGACTTGACATTCAGACTGAATGTTATGCAAATAAAGTAAGATTCTGCTGCCCCCCTCGAATAACCTTCTTTCCTCTTAATTTCTCCTACAATAGGTTATCGTGTTGTAGCAGTCGCGCACGGGGTTGCAAATAGTGCACCCGGAGCCAACAGTTGGCTTGTTACAGTTTGCGGCTAAAAAGTGTGTGTATAGTAGCCATTTGCTTTCCCCATAAAGTGCTTCGCAAGCGTCTCTACAACCATTCTTCCCATTTGCGAGGGAAAAAGCAAGCAACCTACATTCCAAAGCTCTGCTCCCAACAAAAAGCGTCTAACATAGTACAAAAGTGATCACTCAGAGCACTTCAATTTATTGCCGATGAAAGTGCTACGATTTGGTGAAGCTGTGGCACTTCATTTTCACACCCAAGCGGTTTCAGATCTTTTTGTGGTTCATCAAAATTAAAATACAACTAGCCAAAACAAGTATTTGGTAGTTTTGACCGTTGGACCAACTGCGTATTGAAGTGAAACTCGAAATTCGGGTCACTAGAAGTGAGGGCAATCACGCAAACCAGGTCAGAAACGCTCACTGATCGGTAGAAATTCTGTCAACAATTTATTTGACAGGAAAATTTGCCTGCTTGTCATTCTACAGTTAAAGTAAAGCGACATTTTGGGGTTTACCACAGTGAATAAAAAACATCAGCAGAAGTGGATAGGAAAATACGCATACACGAGGCAAGGCGATGCATAATTCACGACTTGTGAAATTGTCGCGACCCTGTCACCAAACCGACAGACTCCAAGACACTCTTGTCGATTTCTAATACGCCTCGCTGCACCTCCAAAATAGCGCATTCGAAGCGCTACACTGTAGATATTTGGAGCTTGAAGAAACACCGTAACTAAGTGTTGCTAGCGCAACTATTTGCCTTCCTTCCTGTGGTAGCTCCCTGACTCATGTAGTTCATCCCATGAAGCAACCTGATACACAACCTATCATATCGCTTTTATTTCCAACTTTACCTAGCAAAGAAGTGACGTCTCGGAAATTCACTCGAGCACATTTTCTTCTACGCCCAAATGAACTACCCTAGCAAGTGAAATTCCGACCTTTATCATCACCTTGGGCCTAGTATTTAGCTGCAAGGAGAGGACGAGAGGAGACATTAAAATGTAATAAAAATACTTCTAATTATGGTCTTAAAGAAAAATCGCCTTCGTTTCCAACTGGTTAGCATTACATCAAGAGGAGTAAAGTGCATTTTTAAAAGGGAAATTTTGATCCATTCTTGCTTACCTGTTTCTTGTCGAAATATCCATCGTTGTCATCGTCCGGATCTAGGTGATCAGGAATTCCATCACAGTCACGATCGCTCCAACCAACAGCAGCCATCATTTTGTTCAGTCGCACTACATCGTCCAGAGTTCTTACTGTAAATGAGAATAAATCTCAGTATAGAGCTCGAATAGGCACTGAATTACCCACTTTTAAGCTAAAACACGACACCCATGCGATTTTATGGTTAAAAGTCGTCAATGCATAGCGTTGACTTCACAAAAAGGAAAATAAGGGAGGGCGGAAGGGAGAAGAGAAGACGAAAATGTTCAATCGCATTATTTCCTTCTAACAATGGTAAACTAAAGGAAGCATGCTGTTTCGATGAACATGGATGGGTATGCTGGGCCTTATGCTTTACCATTCTAGACGGCAAAACAGTCTGTGTTCGTGTTTACGAAAAGTATCAGCGTTAGAAAAGATGATTGACATCGAGATGAGACGTGCTACATTCCATGAAAAATGTAAAACAGGTACGAAAATTCCCTTTCAAGAATTGACATTAGTTAAGAAGAACCAAAAAAAGATATTGGCGAATTTGGGGATTTCCCATCATGAAGTCAGGAAGGAGGAAGAACGGACAGCAAAGTAACAAATGACCGCGACAGAGTAAAGGATTTTACAGTTATGCTCGACAAGGATTGTCACAGCTTGGATCAGTATTTGCCACCTCTTCAAGTTAAAATAAAAATTTTTCAAGCGAACAAATATAGTCGTCTTAATTTTTACCAAATCATCCTTGGACCCAGAACAGATGACATGTACCTATGCAGATAAGAACTTCATTCCCTCCGCATGCAAAAGTTATTTTAGCAAAAGGAGAAACAATGTGGGAATAGCCCTAATCCAAGAGATGGCCTTGAACTGGCCAATCAAAATGGGAAACGGGGAGGGGATGTTAGACATACTTTGCATATTTGAAGGGGCAACACATCCGCAGTTGAAGTGCTTTAAAGGCTTGTTCTTACTTTATTCGGTTAAAAGATAACAAATCACATACCCTAAGTGTGGTCAGTGCCCACATAAGCCAGATGTCTAAAAATTGTTTACAGCAAGGCAAAAAAGAAAAAAATATTCTGAGAATTGAACCCCGGGAATGGAAATAAGAATTTTTCAAGAGTGGAAAATTAAGAACACCAACCGAAAGAGTAGGTGATTCGTTTTCCAAGAAACTCGCTCCGCAAAACCATTCATCTTCACTATCAACTTTGACAATCGAGTTTAAAGGCTGACAGCCAATAAAACTTGTAACTGCTTTTATTAAATGATTAAATGAAGCCCCATATCAACGCTTATTTGCGTTTTTCTTCCGTGTAACAGTGGAATTAATTTGACACCAACGTTTGACAACATAAGCAGAAGCAATACTCTGGCGGTCGACAAGCACATCACCGACTCTTACCAGAACCTAATGAGCTCTAGTTGTAGAACACAAAAAACTCTCCTCTCTCTCCCCAATTTTACTAAATTCGCCTTTCAAGCCTTATTGAGGATGGCAAGGAACCGGTGACATTCACCTTTGTCCAGGTGCTACCCTTCACTCTGCATCCACAATAGCGATGGCTGCCATGCGCACGTGGCAAGCGGATGCATCGGCGGTAGTTGCCTCGTTTACATGCGTGCACACGCACGCAGGGGGACATACACAGCGCTAATTGGCCGTCAGTTGGGGGGAGCAAGAAATCGATAGGGGCTAGGGCCACACCAACTTACCAATGGGAGAAGTGCATATAGGAAACAAAATAACTGATCCTCTGCGTGATCTGATGTAGCGCGTTCGATACGACTGTGCCGACGTTGTCGTCGGCACAGTGACCAAGTAGAATTTCGGTTACCAAATCCACCACCTCGTGATGTCACCGCAGACACGGGCAGTGGGCTGTTAGAACTCCACACAATTAATTAGATAGTTTAAATAGCCTACTTCGGTTCTGAGCGTCAATGCACTTTTCAGACGGAATTTTTCCACATTTTTAACCTACCTACTAAGGTAGGTTCTGCAAGAGAAATGAAGGTGACCGGATAGAAGAGTTAAGTAGGGTCTCAATGATATGATAAGACCACATTCTAGGGGAGCCAGAGCTGCCCCATATTCCTCAACCAGTTCTTCGTGTAATGTTTTACTTTTATATGTAATGACTCGTCCAAAATAAAATTTTACGCGTCGCAAAATTACCAATAGCAATTACAGCAACTGATATGGCGAAATTTTCAGGATTGTGGAGCTCTGATTAATACAATAGCCTCAGTGTAATTTGGGGCACCATGGACGTTGACAGGTCAGAAGATAACGACTTAACATTTAAAATAACCAACAGTGCTCCAAGTGAAATCAAGGAGGCTAACCGAATTATATTTTATTGGTCGAAAATCCACAACCTGACCGAATAAAAACAATAATGTAGCAAGTTTCAGCTCTAAATGATAGAAGGAAGTCGCGCTAATTCTAAATATTTCATTAAACGCTAGGCCAAACTGGAACACAGACAATCGACACGTCCATGCAACGGAAAGCCAAGGCTATAGGTCGTGTCTGGGTGGACTTCTGGAACATGCATACTCTTTCGACAATTTGGAAGGACTAAAATAACTTCCTACGAAAATCGTTAGTCGAATCATGCTTCTAATGTGCCTAGCTTGACAACTAGACGCAGAAGTAGAGAGAGAAGGACAGCCAGCCAGACATAGGGATAACTTACTGCACGTCTTTCCGTGTTCACATTTCAAATCTATAAAAGTTGGAAGCATTGCAGGCATGTGTGGATGTATGCGTGGATGAATGGGTAGATACGCGATGGAATGCACAAACGATGTAATTTTGCTAAGCTAAATAAGTATCAAGGGTGTTTCTTGAGAGGAGACAAATAAAGCTGATTTAAAGACGGAGTAAAAGAGCACATACATTCGTCGATGACGGGTTCCAGGAAGTCAGGGATCTGATCACCATTTCTGTCCTCCAGCATATCAGGAATTCCATTATTATCGTCATCCAGATCCACATCATCTGGGATGCCGTCCATATCGCTGTCGAAGACCTTCTTTTTGTTGCCATAGCGCAATTTAAACTTGTGATCTGTGGTGTCGAGCCGGCAGTCTGGGATTCCATCGCCGTTGGCATCTTCGTCCTCTTTGTCGGGGATTCCTACAGCGAAGAAGCTTAAGGACTAAATGTTCTGCATTCCTTGCAAAAGGCAACAGCTGAACTTGGATATGTGGAATGAGATAACGTTGAAGGTATCGACGAAACTCAATAATTTAATAACAGAACAACTGTATTGACAGTGGTATTGTGGCTGAGTGATTTGGGATCGGACGAATCTAGGAAGTTGTAATGCATTTGATATGAAAGATTTAGAGCAACAGTGCATCAAATTTAATGAATGTTGAGCGTTTAACCATCTCATGGTGGCGGGATGGAGGAATTAAATTCGAATGCCATTACAATGGAGCGTGAAGACGACTCACAGGAGGCACATCAGTAAATCATCCCACTTTTCTTGCTTTTCTAGTCGACTAGTAACCCTTACTAGGCCCAACAAGGCCTCTGAAAGAAAACTACCTTCGATAGAACCCCAGAGGAAGGGTCTAAAGCCTAGAGTAACCCCTACTTCAAACACCCCTATTCATAAAACCTTATAAACCACCTCATATAACATAAAACGCTTTAAATCACAAAATCCGAAAGAAGTTACCTAGCATTTGTATAGTTCTCATGAAAACTGCAATTTAATTCCCCATTGACTAACGTTACATAAGCCATAGCTTCAGGTAAATGAAGCCTAAGCTACACGAACAGTTGCATTAACTTTTGCAAATAAAACGAAAGAGCAGGTAGAAAGACAAAACTCTAGGAAAAAGCATTTTGTGGCAGATTTTTACATGCATACCATCGTTATCATCGTCTTCGTCAACATGGTTGAGAAGACCATCCCAATCAGAATCCTGTGTTCGATCCAACAGCCCATCATTATCAACATCGTCGTCTTGGTCGTCAGGAATTCCATCGCAGTCGTGGTCCTCAAAAGTGGGTACCCATTTCCTACTATCATTTTTGCCCACAAGATGATGTGCTTTTGCTTGCTTGTGCACCACAGACTCTGGAACCCGTTTCAAATGAACTGGATTTAATTTCTGGGACTTCTTCACTTCCGGTTTTAGAGAATGAGATTCTTTTTTGGAAATCTTTGATTTGGACACAGATGGGAGCGGCTTAGTAGGTTGTTTCGGAGTCGATTTTGACGAGACTTTTTTCTTCACTTCCAACAAGTTTCTTTCTCCAACTAGTGTGATAAGAATAAAGCTTAAGGCCTGCAAAACGCAAAGTTACCAAGGCGGTTAGCATATAACACTAGATCAAAAGAACTCACGTCTAAAATCACCTTCATTTTCCTTCTAAAAAAAAAACAAAAAAATGTTAGCCCGAGACCTTCTCTGATGCTCCATAAAGCAAAAAAACTAAATCCCAGTGAATCTCAAAATTTGCTAGTTGCCACGTAAAAAAGGGCGATTTGCGCACCATGTTTGGAAAAGCTAAATTTGGCGATACCAAATGAATTTTAGCAAATAAACTCACATCATATTCAATATTGTCCAAAGGTGCGTCCGCATCATCGAGACTAACAAAATACCATTTATTGCAAAGCATCCAACTTACATTAAACCCTGAGGATAATAAGGTTCACATGAAACATTGGAAAGGAGGACGCCTGAAACGAATAACAAAATATACTACAACGTACATATAGATAGGAAAACTAATGAGAGAAAGAGTCCGCCGCGCATGGTAGCGCCCACTTGTCAGTCAATAGGGCCTGGACGAAAAGCGGTGACGGATGGGCGGCAGAAATATCAAGGTCAATCTGTAATGTAGTATGAAACACTTAAACTAAGACTTAAATATACAGCAACCAAACTCAATATATTGATTACATAATACATCTCTTGAGTTTGTGCTATGCAACTCGAGATTACAAGACTCTTTGAACAGACGTCAACTGATTTTTAACCTACGTTAAATTAAGTTCTGTAGCTTTATTACAAACCATCAATGACGCAAATACTGCTAAGTGTTAGTAACTAACTCTACGGCACTATCTATTTTACGACATAGATATCTAATGGGATTCCTCATTCAACGGACTTCGGCACCGGTCACCGAACCTGGTTGTGGAAGCTATTTTTATGCGTTCCAAATTTACTTTTAACGACACTTTTAAAGTCCATAAAGATATTTTAAAAGCTATGCAAACAGATTTTCTTATAGCGTGCCGAGACCTCACATAGTGTGGAAGAAGTCAGTAAGTGAGTCTGGGTATGTGTACTCCAAGGAGAACAGAGCGAATGAGCCCGAGATTGGCCCAAGAGCCAGCCCACGAGTATTAGGAAACGACAAATTCTAAAGTGACCGCCGAATGTCAAGTGGTTGCATAAACAAAGCATCACGTTTCTTAACCGAAATATTAAGCACTTGTGTTAAAAGAATTAAAATTTGGAAGAAATAGACCATTTAAATGAATGGGTACATTCAACTGCCACTGACCTGTGTGGGGATTTTAACAGCGTTTGTCTTCACAGTTAAAGGTCTCAGACTACCCTAAATTACTGAGTTGAGATATTTGCATAAACAAACGCTTTACTCATGCACTGTGAACTGCGGATTAACCATACTTCTTGATATGGTGAGTCGAGTGGTCTTGGCTAAAGAGAAACTAATCCCGAATGGTTATATGTTTTAAGTTGATGCTTAGTTTGCGGAATGTATTGTAGCTTCTGGTGGTAATCCAGAGAGATCTGCGCTCACGGTTAACAATGAGAACACTTAAAGGCTAACTAACCTTCCGTCGTTTGCAACGACCCTTACCTCTACCTTTGAGACAATTCATATCTGCGCAAAATCGTATGCATTTCTCAGGTCTTTTTTAAAGAAAACGTAAAAAAACAACGAAGGCCCAAATCTGCGCACGTGGTCCTCATTTTCCTGCGTCCGTTAAGATTTTCTGTCCTCAGCAATGCTCGCTGGTTCGTATTTGGGGATACTCGATGTATCGAAAGAAACTTATCCCGAGAAATCACCAAACATGGTTCATTCAGTCAGAGGAGCCCGTACTTTGCAACACACAAGGCAGACGGGAAATGTAGAGGTTTGACTCTTGTTTATGACGAAGCTGAACTACGTCCCCCATACCCCTCCTATGACTGCCAAGCTTCTAATGGCGGCATTAGCTCGTTTATACACCAAAGAAAAGTCTGTTTGCATGACCACGGCAGGTTGTGCATTTACGCACACACCACACGAGATATAACGCTAATTTATGCATTGCTTAAGTGACCGTGAACAAAAAACTTCCCCGCTTTAAAGAGCATCCTGAATGGACCTGTTGTATCACCCACCTCATCCTCGTCTCTCAAACGCCATCCGAGAGAATTATCAAAATTTAGACAATGAACGTAAACAATATTATGCACCCAATCTTCTTGGAAGATAGAAATGATGTAGAGAGGGAAACCAAAACCAGAACTGTGTAAAGATATTCTTAAAACGAACTCGCAGTTGATCAAGAGTGCAATCTTCCTAGTTTTCCTTTAAATCGTGACTTCAAACAGTTTAGAGGATAGAACTGGAAACTTAAATTAAAACGAATAGGAAGGCAAATATGAATGACGATGCACTTCCAAGAAGGGTGCGCAAAAAGGAAGAGGACCTGAGAAACAAAATGTACCAATTGGTATTAGAAGATAAAGTCAAAACACGTCGAGAGAAGTCGGTGGAAGTTCATGAATGCGAGGAAGAATGGCGGAACCAACCAAAAGTGAGGCGAAAATGACCAATCAAGGAATCATAGGGGGTCTGTTATCTTCAAGTTCAAATTTTGTATGTTCTACTACTTTCGAAATCCCAAACACTACGCAACGTTCATCTGTCAACATAGCATATCCAAGACCTTATATTTCAACACATTTGGAAGGTGATGAAGAAACAACACGAATGAAAGGCGGAGAAAACAAATACAAGCAGGACGGAGGAGAGCATCAATAAACGCCAGAGAATGGAGTGGATGAATGAAGCCACAACTGATTGTCGTCAGAGAGATGAAGTCAGTTGAGAAAAGAGGGTTGGAGGAAGCAATTACTTCTTCTTTTTCATGGTAGCGGATGCGGCACCGGACAGATTGCCTTGTTTCGCCTGCTCTGCTAGTTGTTTGCGTCGCTCGAAAGCGGCCATCTCCTCGGAGAGAATGCGACGTTTCTCTTCCAGTTTCTTCCTCTCCTCAGCATGTTGCTTCTTTATCGCTTCGAATTTCGCCTGCAGCTGCAAGGCATATGAGAGATGGTCAGATGAATTATGAGAGATCGCAGAAGTGTCGCACACAGCAGCAATAATATCCAGTCAAGCGAGGTAACCAAAAACAGGGCAAAGACAGTTTCGAGGAAAATCAGCCGTACTTCTACGACGTCTTCCACCTTCCACCATAGTGGTGATGCCAAATACAGGATTTCACGACAGACGAAATTCTACAGTGGAATGACAACAATCAACAACAGCGAAGCCATTCAAAAGGACATAGACGAACGAATGTGGGATCACACCATCCTTGCAGGATGTGGAGGAGTGAGGCACTTGTTTGGAAAGGCAGTTTGGCAGATTACCCCAAAGACTGAAATACTGTTTAAAAAGCAGCAATCATTGGGATAGTTTACATGAACAAAGTTTCCTAGACCCAACTAACGACAAGCAATGTTTCTAGTAACACAGCTGCTTCGACGCAATCAAGGGATAAAGTTACGGCTCACAAAGGTAAAGATCAACACGAATCTGGGTAAGAATGACCACGGAAATTCAACGTATTCAAGAACCAGATCAGTGTTTAATGCCAAAGGTGCTGTTATTCACGTAGGCAACCAAGTTTCTAAAGGGCCCACTGACAAGCCACCGATTGTCCTTCTATGACAATGGCATGTACGCACTATTGCCTAACCGACTAAAACAGAACCCAAGCGCCACCTTCTTCAATAACTTCTAATCGTCTTGCTGTATGGAGCTAGTCTTCCGTTACGCAGTGTGCATTAACTTGGTTAAGATAACCCACTTTTCGACAAAACAACGTGAGAGTTCTGCAACTTGCTGTCCGCTCACTATCAACCGTGGCCCCTCATCATAACCGCCTGCCTCAGATCGTCAAAGTCAAAGGGAGGGAAGGGGAGAGAGAAAATAATTGCAAAGCCTTGTAGAATCCTCGTCCAGTCAACACAGCAAAGTTTTAAGGGTCGAATGTCAAGGCTCCCGACAAAATCTCCAACCTAACGCCGAATTGAAACACATCTGGTTGTCAGCCGAGACTAGCATTCGAATCAGAAGCGCGGTCAATGTGAGGCGTCCGAAGTGAACACGATCCTCCACTGATCCAAACAATCCAAAATACTTCTCACAGCTCAGCAAAGGGAAAGGTGATAAGAAGTCCATTCTGTGATCTTCGACACCGACTCGATAGAGGAGAAAGCGTGGTGCGAAAAGCCTAATGATCGGTCCTGGAAAGTGCTACTACCTTTTTAAGGAACTGTTGCAGAAGCCCTTACACAACAGTAGCATCAGTTTTTCTGTTCTATTATTGGTTGCTTTTAGAACTTTTGGAAATTAGTACTTTTGCACGGTTTCTGACTGGTCAAAAGCACACTTGAAAAGGTCTTAAGTGCACCCAACCCACTCGAAATGTTGTCAATGTTTGTGCGACGATTCCGATCGACTCGAACCTTTCGGTAAGATAACCTGAACACTGCGATTTTCTCTCCGTTGATTACTGTGTTCAAGACCTTGGCAAAGTCCATGTTCATGTACAACCCATCAAGGACAACTTCAGTTATTAAAAACTAGTTCACGTTGAGTTTCTCCCATTTTCACCTGAAATGGGTGTGCTTGAATGCATTAGGGAAAAACATCAGAAACCAAAGATACAGTCGGACTTGAATGGTTTCCAGTGGCTAAAAATTGATGAAAACTCAGTTTAAACTGGCCCCAAGGTCTCGTATGCAAAGAGAGGGAATAGAGGCATTAGTAACTCAGCAGTCGTCTACCACCACTAACAAGGAGAGCAGGCCTTTAAACTGCTAGGTGGCCAAAGAGGTGGCATTTTTTCCCAGTACTACAGAGTATATGTGGTCGGCTAGGTGCATGCAGCACACTCATAAGCAGAGCAAAGATGCCACCAGCCGCATGAATGCCATTTGATGGACAATACATTTTAAATTCTGTCATTGTTTTTTGGGAACACTATGAAGACGAGTTGTGTGTTAGGAAAACCTCTACAAATCAACAATGCGCAGACGGACGCCTCAGCCATCGCAACTGTTGATGAATCACCAGTCAGCCGCATACCTATGAATGGACAAAAGTTATTTCCACGGGATCGTACTGTACCTGTGAGTGCGTAAACAGCAAACAAAGTTGTTCGTATGATGGAAGACCAAACACCAAAAACCACTAAGATTTAGAGAGGCACTCGGTAGCATCAAGTTTAGAAGGGCACTCAGCCTCCGCGTTGGTCTCAATGGCGACTTCGCAAGGTTCAAATGATTGTTATCTTGGCCCAACGTTGGACATAAATAGCACCAGTCAGGCCGAAGCACATGGCCGGAGGCGATGATTAAGACAATTTGCGTTTGGAGAGCAAAAGGTTTTACTAACGCAAAGTTCACAAACGCCCAATGCCGATGCCTTACTTGCAACTGACGGACTTGGTACGTCTGTCGACTAAACAAACGTCTGTCACAAAAAACCCGGCTTCGTTTGTAGCCCCTGTAGTGCACATCTTAGAATTTGAGAGGAAGTAGTAACACACTTCCCTGCCAAGTCCCAAGGCACAAAAGTCATTTCACATCACAAATTAGATTACTGTGAAAAAAAAAAAACGGGGCCAAACAATTAGTTTCTCAAATGCGCGTGAAGCCGATTGAGAGTTCTCTTCAGGTTACAAATGGACTGTTCTGTTCGATAATGAACTTTAATCCTCAAGACAGGATTCGGGTGACTGAATTTATGACAAAAAAGGTTAACTTTGTGAGATATCGGAACTCACTAAAATTCGATCGGAAAAGTGGCACTAACTCCAGAGGAATGAATCTGTAAGGATCGATTTTGGAAGCGTCAAGTTTGTGCCTTAACTCATTTTGAAGGAAGTGAAACTGAGATCTAAGGGGCAGAGATTAACTGCACTAAGGCTTCTGGAGTTCACCTACAAATTAAAATTTGGAAACGCCTTAGTTGGAGAGGAAAACCATTCGTAAACACCAAATGTCAGTGCCGCAAATGAATTCATTCCGCCAATTCATGCCCTCGAAAAAGTGCCGACAGTAGCCTCTTGGTAACGCAAACCACGTGGACCCAATCGGATTCTCGTTCTAAGGGCGTCTCAGTTGTGATGTGAAATTCTTCCCATTCTATTATGCCACTAGGCTAACTGCTCGTCGAACTTAGAAATCGAACTACTCGGATACCGAGCTTTGGTTGCAGCACAACAAGAAGTTAGGTCCAATTTTCATTACAAAAATGGGCACCACCCCGCACAAGTATTTCAAGGAAAGCTCACATTAACACCATTTTAATTGAACCATTCATAAACAGTGGACCGACTCCTCAACCGCACTACACAGTGATACTGATCAATGCTGACAAATTACTAATGAGAACTCACCTCGCGTTCAGTCTCCTTGAGAACTTGTTCCTTCTCTTTCACACGTTGGACAAACATTTGACGCATCTCCTCCTCCTTCTGCTTTAACTCCTTTTGCTGCGTCTCGCGCCGCTTCTCGTACGTCTCCTGCAAAATCAAAGGTGAGAAGCAGTACAGTTCATAAAAGCAGGCCGATTTGTAGAACGATTTCAATAGTAGCAGGAAATATAATCGCCACAAGGTGACTGCGATGCCAAGTCTTTTAAAGTGTCATAAGGGGTGCCTCGCAAAAACACACCAAAAAGCAAGCCACGTCTACTTGCCCGCCTCTCACATGCCTACATCCTCACAATGCGTAAAAGAGTACTTACGCCCTCTAACCAACTCAAAGGTCTTTAGGACAAACCAAATGACCTGAGGCCTACCGACCTGCAACGATATCTTCTCATCATCCCTAAATCCCATCTCCGAGAGACGCCGCTTCCGATACGTCTCGTAGTGCACCGTATGCGTTCGCTCGCGCAAGTCCTCCATGTTCACCCGCAATAGCATCTCACGCAGACGCACAAAGTCACAATGCGCCTCGTTTTCGACCTGCACACAACCCCAAGGGTATTGACGAACACGCAAGGTACGTCCATTCACCTTGGCCTCCTCGGTGCTGCCCACCACTGCGAAAGGTAGCATCTTCTAAGAGAGGGAAACAGAGGAAGAAGGCTTGGCAGTGCCAACAAGACCGAGAAATTCAATGCGCAATCAATCGACTAAGAAATTAGTTAAAGTACACTGATTTGATACGAATCGAAGGAATTCAATTACTGTATTTTGAAGGTTCGAGAGGAAAATAAGTACTATGACTGCGGAGACCACGCTCAGGATGGGATGCATCAATGGTAAACTACTTTCGAAGCTACAACAATGCCGTTCGCATTCTAAGATGCCTAGAACGCTTCTTCATTCGACCATTAAGTGAGAAAGCATCTAAATAAAAAGCTGAGTGTGTTGCACTTTATGGCATTCGAATCTCGACGATTCTGCGATATTTTCGCCATCGTGCTACTTCTTTCCTCTAGCACAATGTTTCTACCATCATTGGCATGCCTCACCAATATGGAGCAGTTTTGTGCCTTTCACAATATGTTGACACCAACATCAACAACTTACGTTTGTGCTATCGTTCAACTCGCTCACCATCTCATCATCGGTTGGAAATTGATAGAGATGAATGCCGTTCGCCTTCACCTCTGACATTACCTTCGCCTTAAACTTTGAAAGCTCTCCTTTTGTGATGGTGTCCGATTTCGCAATGATCGGAATTATGTTCACCTTGTCCTGCAGCTTTTTCAGTGCTACAAGATCCACCGACTTTAAGCTATTTCCAATGCCACAATCACCTCACATACATATCTCACCTGTGCCCGGTTGGAGCAATGAAGTACAGACAAACATGAACGCGTGTATCATGATACGTATGCATTGAACGCTTGATTTTGAGTTCTTCTTGCAGATAGCTTTCGTACTGCTGATCCAAAAACTCCACGACGCTATCGGCACTACAAATGACCGCATTTTGAATCAGCTACCAAACAACTAATAAACAAACCTGTTTTCCTTATTGATTTGATCGCCAAAACCACAAGTTTCGGTGACAGTCAACTTTAGCTTTACATTGCCCTCCTTTAGGTCTTCACGTAAACACATAATATACGCAGAGCATTAACCCACCGTATGTCTTAGACTTCAACTTTACGTCTGTCGAATCATGTGAGGAGGGTGTAAAATCAAACTTCTGGTTGAAAAGAGTTTCTATGAGAGTAGACTTCCCCAACCCAGTTTCACCTATTTCCTTCCAGTTACTCTCTATTTACTTACCAACGCAGAGAATGTTAAAAATGAATCCCTCGTTAATGGACTTATCGACGATCTGGTCGGGCAGACTAACAAAACCCACATGCCCATTCAGTGTAAGTGTTCTACAATCAGAGTTCTGCACAGATGCGTAAAGCTAAACACTGCCACACCTTCTTCTTTAAAGCATCCACTGTCATCTTGCCTGTTCTTTGTCTCGCAAAGACTCACACCCAACCGAACTAATTAAAGGTCACAGGGGGCAGTAGCATCGACATCATTGGGTCTGGCATCCTTATAATTGGTTATATATATGCACATAGTCAGTTATCACGTTATTATAGCTTTAATCTCAATATAAAATAAAAATTTTGGTTCAAGTTCTGCATTTTGTATACGTTGCGACATCAAAAATTACGACGTAATTAGTCATGCCAATGAATCCACAGTAGCACTAAAGGTTCTACCAATATACATCCCTCACACAATTGATCCAAGTAGTTCTTGTGGCTCACACCATCATAGAAAGGCAGCAACATTAGGTGGACTCTGCTTTCATTATTGTAACAAGGGACCACAAGTATGGCCACAATTTATTCCCAACTTCGACGTCGCCTGACTCCCTCCCTGACGTTTCCTCGGAGAACGGTTCATGTATAAACATTTTGTTTTGCACCTCGAGAGACTTCAGACAATGTTTAAGTGGCATCAGACGTTCAATTTGATATCCTGCCCCTGACCCACAACGTGGATTAAACCATCTTTAGTCCATTAAGCAGCTCAGTTCTTTTTCAAACACTGTTTACTGTACTGTCCCTAAGCATTCTGTCTGGAGGATTCCCATTCCTTATTTTTGTCCTCTGCCCACTGGGGTGTACCTGTAGTGTCCCGAGGCTTCCCATAAGGTGAAAGAATGCATAAGTGAGGTTGAATACATGTACTCTGAAGACGAAAGGTCATATTGGGTCTGAGCGTGGCCCGAAGGCCAGCCTACATGTACAGGTGCCAAAAAATTCTAAAGTGACCGCCAAACGTCAGGTAGTCACATAAACAAGCATTACAGTACTTGTATCAGGGCTTTATCTTACTATGATGTACTCTTAGGATTCCTGATGAGGTAGCTACTTGATAGGATTTCTTGTTCCAGAGTTGATAGAATTTCTGATGGAATCCCTGTAGCGGAATCGGCCTGCGAAATGGCACAAAATCTTTCTTATGAAAAACGTTTGCTCAGTTCTGCTTATTGTAGAACCTCTTTTGCCTAGCATGTGCTTTCTGCAGTTCCATTCCTGCTGAATTAAATACATTTCTAAGATCTTTTTTTAAAATTAAGACAATAATGAGAAGTCTAGCCGCCAACTTTTTGCTACTGGTAAGAGCAAAGCATGAATGAACTTCTATTTCAAACCTCTAAAGCATTTTAAAAGATGAGATTCTCGAGGTATGGTAGGAGTCACGGTAGGCCAGGACGACGAGTTCGATTTGTAAAGCTTAGTTTCTCGGTTGCAGTCCTTTGGTAAAGGCCATCAATAGGTTGCCACTGCCGCAGCCTGTACCGATTCAGCATCCGCGACATTAGCAATGTAGTCCACCATCATCAAAATGTAGCGACTTCCTCTCGCAGTCGATGGAAGCGGACCTGTGATATCGCTGCATACTCGCTCTGCTGGAAATCCCATGTGCATCGGCTGAGGAGGGACTACCGCGGTGCGGTGTGAGATTTTGTAGGTGGTGCGAACGACACCAATACCTCTCGCCCGTGTGGCCTCAACCACCTTCCTTTTCGCCCAACACTGTCAAAGTGCTCAGACAGTCCCAACAGAGCTGTGTGCGTCAAGGAACCTCGTACCACGAAGCGGTTAGGACCTGCGGCATTGTCTTTGTACCGCGTGACTTCATCTTCCAGGGATGGTTGTTCACATTTCTCGCATATTTGTTTGCTCCCCGAGCTCATCGTCACAACAGTGGCTTGGTCGATGATGTTCTTAGCCTCGCATACACATGAGTGGTGTCGGGGTCGGAGTTGTGCGTGATTCTCCAGTCATGGCTAGCGAGCTCGCGAGGGGGGAGGTCTTCGTGACAGGACTTCTTCATTGCACTGACAGCTACCTTTCCCATTCAGCACGATCAAATCATTGTTGCTGGAGTTATTCGTGCCACCTCGCAACAAAGCAATCGATCTGCTTCGTCCTCAACCTTGTTAGTACTTGATGGTCTGTCCTCACCACGAACTGCTTTCCTATAAGGTGGTGTTTAAAATGCCAGATCATTGTATAGATGGTGAACAGTTGCCACCGGTGACTCAAAATGCAGGTTTCAGTTTCTTAAACGTCTCTGTGTGTTCGTTCTCCCATCGAAACTCCTTTTAGCCTCTTTTCTTCGCGTAAACTCGTGTAGCGGTTTCGAGATCCTGGCTAAACCCTTGACGAAGCGACGGCAGTAGTTTGCCAAGCTGAGAAAGCTGCGAAGTTCTGTCTGATGAGTTGCCTTACTTGTTTTGTGCAGTCCTGCGACCATGTGTCTTAAGAATATGAATGAGCTTCAAAGAAAAAAGCACTTCTTTGGTTTCATTGTTAGCCCGAGCTGTCTAAGGGGACGTAAATGAGTATTCTGCTGTTGGGCATCTCTACTGCTGATGGAGATGTCATTTACGTAGATGATACATTATCGTGGAGAACTTGTTGGTAGTACCGTTTGCATGAGGCGTTGGCAAGTAGCTGCGCCATTAGAGTCCAAACGGCGTTAGTTTGATAAACCAAAGGCCGTTTTTTCTCATCCTTTTCTACTACTCCCACTTGCCAATTCTCTGATTTTAAGTGAAGGGTTGAGAACCAATTACGTCCTTGCAGGGAATCTAACGAGCCATTTATGCGGGGTAAGAGGAATGCTTCCTTTCTTGTTGTTGCATTGCGCCTTCCGTAGTCGAAACAGATGCGTAGACTACCGTCGCTCCTTTTACTAAGGCAATAGACGATGCTCAGGGCGACTTGGATGGACGTATGGCGTCAATTTTCAGCATCTCATCGATCAAGCGCTGCACGTTCGCCTAGAAGGAAGGTGGCATGTGTCTGGGAAGTCGTCGAATTGGTTTGGTCTAAACTGTATCATCGTGCATCTGACGACTTTCGTTCGGCTCGATTTTGTCCTCGGCAATGAAGTTCTTTCCTCTCACTGTCTATGAGCTGCCTTACCTATAAACAGAGTTCGCTTGTTCCGGTATCGGTCACAGCGAAAAATAAGGAACGGAATATCATCAGCCTTCTTTTAGGTGTGAGAAGTGAGGCTCGCCTTCTTACCTATCTGACGGGTTGTAAACATACGTTCTTCGAATTTCATTGACTCTTAAGTTCGGAATAAAACGTCGATATTTGACAATGGCATGCCAGTACAACTCCGGATACAGAATAAAATATACCACTCAATTGTCTATTCCATTTGTAAATTTTATACCGGCTTTCCTTTTTTACTAGCATATCCTTTCATTCGTTAGAGTGTACTTTTGTTTTATAATCGACATCATCGAAATCTAAAGCACTTTGTAAGCCAGCTTGAGGCTGTCAGGACTTAGTCTTCTTGATGGCCTCTCTTAAGAGGCTATGCACACGATGTCTGAACTAATTATAAGCTGCAATATTATCTTAGGGCGTGGAGAGCAATCTTCCTTTCCTGCAGCTTGAATCGCGGCTGGTTTCTTTAGTATGATTCGCACGCTCGTTACGAAATCAATCATAGTTGATCGTTTAGAGCAAAATAAAGACATGCAAAGCAGTTCTACACATTACAATGACAAAAAGTCCTGTATAAGTCATCCTTATTCCTCTTTATCTAATCTGCTACTTTCAAAGCCAATGCGAATTTAAGGAGTTTTGTTTGAATTAGCTAAGTTCAAGTAAGTAGACAGCGTAGTAGTAACGGGGTCAAAGTGCGTAATATTAGTATGCACTGTCGAATTAAGACGCCTGCTTCTTTGGAATCTTTTCCTCTTCTTATTCAAGCATAGCCTTCGGTGTGTATCTAAAGGGCTGCCTTTAACTGCCCTCTTTGTTTCACCTCTTTTAATAGGAGGTGGCTATGAGGTTCGTACGAATTTGAGCGGCATACAGCAGAAAAGCAGAAAAGCAGAAAAGCTTTGTTTGTGGCTTCCTTAGTTTTATTTACTTCGTTTCTGATCGGCTTCACGTATGGAGTGTTCGAAGTTAGGGGAGCTTTACTTGGCGTGCCTCGATATCGTCCCATTTCCGTACCCTTTGTATGGCCATGCCTTATAATGGTGGACCGGTGGTCGTGGAGTCAGAATTAAATTGAGTACTCTGCGCCAAGTAGCTTGCATGCGAGGCAGTTCTCATCACATAAAAGTCCTCCTTGCTCGAAGGACGCCATATTTTAAAGGATTTGTTTGGTTGTGCTTCTGTAGTTTTCTCATTTTTCGGCAAGCATTCGCACTGGTATGGAACCTTTTCCTTATCTACACATTGAATCACCTTACAGACGATTTAATTTTTATATTAGTTTATTTTCAAACGCAATCAATGTCTCGGGGCGTTCTTAAATGCTAATGAAGGCATTGTGCTAGAGAACAAATGGAGCAATGCCAGATCTCATGGCATATTTCAAAGGTCATCCATCCGAGGAGGATTACATGGCCGCATAAGTGATTGCAATCGAATGCGGTAGTCTACCCAACGGTGCAGCATATCGCTTGTGTCCCCGCCTACTTCGGATCACTGCCTACGATGCTCTCCTTTCAAAAGCGTCTGCATCGGCCAATGTATTGTAAGCAGTGCTGAATGAAACCATTCACCAGCCATCTAAAAGAGTCAGTGCAGTTTAATGCAATTGAGAATGTGTTTACCTGCATATCTGCTGAAAAACGGAGTCGAGTCCAGTTTGGAATTGTTATTAGATAGAGCCATCGTGTATGAGCATAGCGACACGTTGGAACTCCAGTTCCAATGCATAATTATATGTTGGGACACCAACTCTGAAGCAACTTCATTGTTGGTGCATTTCTTTCATATTTCAACCATTGTTCAAGCCCTCAGAATGGTGTCTCTGAAACTCCCTATTGTAAAGCTCCTACATCAGCCACCGATAAGTGATTGGTGCATGCAGAAATTAGAAAAACAGAACGTGATTTGCAGCCAGTGCAGAGGTTGTGGGCCAGGAGCTGAAGAGGATCAAGGCGAAAGGGAAAGGCAAGTGTAGAAGGGTCACAACTCTCCCCGAATCCACAATCATAGATGACTTGAGAGGCGGCGAAATGAATGTAGTCGTTGGTTGGAAAGGAAGGGTGATGAACGCTAGAGGGTTTGAAGGAATGAATAGACATAAAATGATACGGAAGGGTGAGGTCGTTTGCCCAAATTATGCCTATGAACAATCCTTTATGGCCTACTTCCACTTTCATTCTAAAATTGGGATAAATGTACATGCTTAGAATTAGAATTTGGCAACGAGTGAAAGAAAATGAAATGTCAACTCTTTCGAGAGCATCGTGGCACCTTGATGCAGCTGAAGGTTGGAATTTGATGCAACGTGGCGGTGTGCTGGTCTCACTGGCTAAAAGCAGATGGCGGGGAGGATTGTGATGCGTTCTCCGAGACTAAAAACCCGATTCATGACAAACTGACAGTCTGATTGACTCTTACGTATCGTTTGAGGATTAGTTTTTCCTCCTAGTTGACTGGATGCCACGCATGCTGTTTGTGGTTTTGCGTGATGGCGAGGGTAAGTGTGGCCATCTCGCAGCCGTCAGCCTCCATTTTACTTTACCTTGCAAATTACTGGAAGTGTAGAGACGCTTGGAGGTACTTCGAGATAGACCGCCACGAACGCAGCCAATGTGAAATTAAAATGACGACTAGTGAAAAGAAGCAGGATAACGCAAATGCTATACCACAGCCATCACAAAAGGCCAAAGCAGAAAGAATCACTAAGGGCTGACAATAAGCAACACAAAAGACGAGAGCCTAAGACTGATTAAAGATATTTCAATAGCCTTATCAACTTCTCCTCAAGGCGTAAAATGGATTTTGTGGCAAAAGCGGCTTTTAAGGCTTGTATTTTGTTTTATTTTGTCATGTTCACCCAAGTCTTTCCTCAATGTTGATGGTAATGGGGGCCGAGAAGTGGTCGCAATGGCGAGTTGTTGAGAGGTCGCTTAATTTACTCACAGAGTGCTACTAAAGGATGTGCAGAATAAATATAAAAATAAAGCGTTTGGTTATCTACAGATAAAATCTTCTGGCACAGGGGGGTGACATTTTTGGGCAATTAAGATGTTGTTCAGGCGTAACTCTTTGAAAAATTGGAGCCTGCAATGGGACGGAGGGCGCGGTGAGCACAGCCAGTGCAGATGCTGAAGGCACGACGAGGAGGACGACCCAAGTGAAGCAGAAGGTTGCGTAGAGAAGAGCCCTAACTTTAACGCATTAACCATTAATAGTAGTTCTTAGCTCGAATTTGGTGGACAGTGAGTTAAAGGTGGTCGAATTGACGCAGCTGCCGTTGAATGACAAAGGAAACCATCAACCCATTTATTTGCTTGCATGGTGGAAAGAGGTAATCACTGAAGTGTCTGGATGAGATTTTGCGAAAACGATGCAGATAGGCGGCTCTTTGTGCCACAATTGTGTATCTGGACAGACAATTTGACCTACTTCCTCTTTTCATTGGGAAAGTGTTATCAAGGCTGTGATGGAAGTGTCTACGTCACCTTGTTCTTTCTTCGTCCACTTGAAGTTCTCTTGCCTGTCGGCACTGCCAAGCCTTCTTCGTCTGTTTCCCTCTCTTAGAAGATGCTACCTTTCGCAGTGGTGGGCAGCACCGAGGAGGCCAAGGTGAATGGACGTACCTTGCGTGTTCGTCAATACCCTTGGGGTTGTGTGCAGGTCGAAAACGAGGCGCATTGTGACTTTGTGCGTCTGCGTGAGATGCTATTGCGGGTGAACATGGAGGACTTGCGCGAGCGAACGCATACGGTGCACTACGAGACGTATCGGAAGCGGCGTCTCTCGGAGATGGGATTTAGGGATGATGAGAAGATATCGTTGCAGGTCGGTAGGCCTCAGGTCATTTGGTTTGTCCTAATGACCTAAAGACCTCCTCCACGCATTGTGAGGATGTAGGCATGTGAGAGGCGGGCGAGTAGACGTCTGAAGTTGGTTATGAGCAAAACTTTTCCATGCTCTTTGCGCAGAGACCTTTGTTGTGCCACCCTTTTTGAGTTCGCCTCAAACAGGAGTCGTGTCACGCCATTTACTTCAATTCACCAGTCTCAATTATTGTTGGCACCTTCAAGAGCTCCTTGCTGCAGGGACCCAAATTTAAGGTTGAAGGCCAAGTTTAACAGGTATCTCGTATTTTATTCTAGTTAACTGTGCCATTCTGGCCAAATTTTCATGTTAATAAGTCGCGCGATGTCTGTCGGGAAATCCTTGCCTGATGAAATCATTAATACACAACTTTTTCACCCCCTATTCTCACACACTAATTTTTGGAAGGCACCTTCTCTTAAGGCGTTCCATTTCCACACAGCATGCTGGCCTTAGGCACAAAAGCAACGTAGTCTTCTAAGCCTAAATCTTGTTGCGTCAGGGAAGTAAGTGGTGGCAAGCCGACAAGTGGCTCCGAAATAAAATAAAACTCACAGTGTCATGCCCAATGCAACTCTTTTGATCCAGCATCTACTGGCATACAAATGTCCTTTGGATGGGTCAGACGACCACGAGCACAACTGTCCCACACACCACCAACTCCACTCTCGATCGCAACACGTACTTTCATCCACCTTTCCAAATTGACAACTTAATTTTGAAATAGAGTGCAGAGGAAATAGGCTTGTTTGCATCCAAATTAGGTCGACATGGAATGAACCAGTATCCGCGGTTATCGCTGCCAACGAAACACCTCACTTTTGTAGCACTTTGTAGGTGGCACTTGCCATTACTAGCGAAGGGGGTTGCGTGTTAACGTCTGACGCAAATGGTCAAAATAATTGGTAGGCATGATTCAGAGCTCTAGACAATGACATCAAGGAAATGGGATGCCGACAGGCCCATGTGATAGGCATTATCGCACACAATGCGGACCACTTTTAAATAGCAGTGAAGCGTTGAAGGCAGCAAGTAACAGCAATTATAATTTTATGCAAGTCCCTGTCTATAAGAATTTTAAAATCTTTCAAATCGAATGGAAACCAGAGAAGGCAGTGAATAAGTGACATCCCTTACGCTTGACAGGTGATATAAGAAGTTTAGAATTCCGTATTAAGCGAATGTTGGCGATTGTAGTTAGTCTATCTTGCTGTTCCTTTCGAAACCACAGTGGTAAATGTATTTGTTACCGCATTACGGCAAATATAAAGGAGACATGTCCGATAGTTTCAGGCATGCATGATCGTAGGCTCCATAAGTCTTTACGAAATATTTTAAACGGTGCTCCTCTGCTCGAATTCGGGCATTCCACAAGGCAGCTGATGTCGGTGAGGAAGAAAACATTGACAAGCAGAATAACTTTTAGAGGGTGTTTTGGTCATCGACTAACTACAAATGAGGACATTATTACAAGGTGAATCGGAGAGCGTGGAGCCTCTATTTACACCAACCTTCCAAACGGACGGCCTCTTTAGCCCAGAAGAGTGGCAATTTCAGGGCGCCTAGAACGTCATCCAGACACGACTCAAGGGGAGGAATGCAGGCGGCGAATGGAACAAAGAGTATGTAGATGGCTGCCAGTGTCAAAGACACAGGCCAAGCAATGAAGACGATTAAGGCGAAACAGAAGAGAGTGTATACTATGCTCCACATTTTGATTCCATCCATGAGCCTTGATAGTGTGCATTCAGAGGGTGACGGTTGTCGACTTTAAAAGCAATGAATTTCGAAGTGCTTCCTGCTGATTGGTCAAAAGCGGACCACTTCTGGTCCACTCATTGGCCATGAGGCCGTAGTGAGCGTGCATGTGGATGCGTGTTGAAAGTACATAACCAGGTGGCAAACACGACAAGTTTGCCTTATGCTTTTCTAGCGTGCGCATGATTGTCGGCTCGGTAACCGAAATGATCGTTTAAGCGGGTTTTGGGCACATAATAGGTCATGGAAAAGGCGTAGGCATGACTACTGCATGGCGATCACATGCAGCTGATCTGTTGCAGCGTGCGATTTGTGTTGATGGTTAGAAAAACGTACTTTCCCGAGAAAATTGTGCTATGAGCCCATTTGTAACCAAAAACCCTCTTAATTATGATGCTAACGTTTTGATTGCGGTCCTCTCTTATGTGTCTCCGTGATGCCATCAACGTCTTTAAAAGAAATTATTTATTTCAAATTCTTGCAGAATGAATGAAATGCAGAATGTTTGAACAAAATGTTTAGAAGGAAAAGTCTCGTGAGTAGTTGTTAACTGCTAGAATGGCATCTCTTTTAAAGCATTGACGATTCCACTAGCAACGATCACATTGATAATTATAAACAAATTAAATGGAACCGACGGAATGAATCAAAAACGTTACGACCAACAGCGAAAGTTGGTTGAGAGTGAGTGCATGGAATTACCAAAAAGCCTTTTCACTGCTATAACCTTTGCTTTGAAAAATGATTTAATTTTGTGTTTGAATGCGCAACATTACCTTTTTAGTTGTCCAGTAGTGCATTGTGTTGTTTGTTGATAATAAATAATAGAATTGGTTTGCAAGAAGTTGCAAGGATCTGCTTTTTCGATACACGGCTTTATTATTAGAGTGAGCCACGGCGACGCCGTTACTTTTGACAACATTTTAACTACCTTTTCAATTATTTTTTTGCATGAACCTCGTGAAGAGGTGATGGTGGCCAAAAGGCTTGTGATCAACCTTAAGTGGAAGTTACGTTTTGTGTTTGCTTCCATAACAGTTTGTGATTTCGGTCTCCAAGCAACCGCATCAGACGGTCTAGAAAACTTCACTAGTCTATGAAACAAACTATCTTGTCGCTTGCACTCGCCGCATCAAAGGTTGGGTGTCGCGTTTCCCTAACATGATGATGTACAGAGGTGATGGTGAAGTTTAAGCCTCATGATGAGCCGCTGGTATGCCACGGCTTTGTCCTGCTGATTTAATTGAAGGGATTGCAAAAGTTAATTTTCTGCATCCGCAAGACTTTGTGATTTGCTATTCAAAGTAACAGGAAGAACAGAGTGCGGTTTAAATTGGCCATTGTAGTTCTTTTAATGCTGATGAAGGGCGAAGTTGCTGGAAGCATATGCATGCTGCACAGGTCATAAAGTTGCTCCCCATTGTCCCGACGGGGAGGGAAGAATGGGCGAGCAGGTTGACGGCCACTTCAAAGGATCACTTTTATTCTCAGCATCATGACAAAGTGCTTTACTATTATGTTCACTAAAAACCGGCTTGTGAATGATAAATTAATGCAAAACTGCTAACAGTGAAGCGTGAAATCTTCTCATCGTCAAATGTTGACTTTTCGAGCTGTTAGTCAAAGGCGGATTCTGCTTGTAAAGGCGAGGGTGCGGTGTGTAAGCAATCACCTTAATTGATAACATTACTTACGCGCTGTTAAATTTTCAACTTAGCTGAGTGAGGGGCCTTCATTCAGCATCGAGGAGGTGGCGATGATTTGCATATTGTCGTGTCAACTAAAGTAGACCAGTGCGTATCAAGTTCGCCCGATTTAAGAATTAAGTTTGACTCACCTCCACTTCGTGCAAACATCGTATCCCACTGTGTGTTGAAGGTCTGCAGTGCGTGCCGCCCTAACATGCTGATTCTGTGCTTGGCTGAGGCGGAAATGAGTGTTTTGTGACCGTAGAATGGGGAGCAGTGCTGTGGTGTTGCCATTTCGACTTCGCAGTTCCAGAATGGTGCCTACCCAGGTTTTATGTTTCTTTGTTCTTAAGTAATGTAGTCGTAGTTTCTGCTCAAAATCAGCATCGAGAAGCCAATGGAAGCGTATGGTCAGACACCTTAAAGTGGGCCCGTGAGCTCTGTGATCAAACTCACCTCATTAAGCATCGTACTGAAAGTCAGTGGATGCATCAACCATTGCTTACTCACGTTTCTGAGGCGCGTGGATGGCACGGGGTGCAGTACGATTGCCCTTTGGTCTTGTGCCCGACTCTCTAAAAGTGCTCACTCACCCGGTCTTTTAGGAGCATCATCTTCTCTTCATATCTGAATTGCTTGTCATTCAATTTTTCCTTCACTTGTTGTCACTTTTGACCGACTATTTTGATACGACTTGTAATACCATAGAACAGGATTTAATAGTCCGTCAACTTTGCACAAGGGGACAACACTGACCGGCACTTTGTCGTGTTTAGGGTGCATGGCATGGTGACCTCTTGACACTACTTTGTTGGTGCTTAGCCTCTCAATCAAGTCTTCGGCCGGAATTTAAAGAGGGGCATCTTTATATTCAGGCTGATGCGCATCACTTGCAGACATTATGCCAGTGCCAGCGATGTTTTGGCCAAAGCTAACTTGATGAATCAGGTGATAGATGGTCTCTCTGCTAGCTCGCTCGAGGAGGAGCTGCTTTCCGAACCTCAAGGAGTGAGTAGCCATTGTGATTTTGGTTAAACACTAATAAGATGGCAGTTTTGAGGGGTACGCCAACCCAAACACAAAGATGAGTGGATGAGTCAAAGCAGCGCAATAGTGACATCGTTAGGAAGGGGACGCCTCGTGACTACGGAACTCATGTTTTAAAAGGGCGTTATACCTTTATTTAACTCATTTCTATGTTATTGCTGTGTGTTTCACCACATACGCAATTTGAGGTATTTGAGCTTCCTATTGAGGAGGAGTATGGATTGTGCAGGTCGAATCCATACGTAATAATTTGGCTCTGGAGGTCAGATAAAGGGCGTTGTTGAACAGGCAGACGAAGAATCGAAAGGTGGCTGATCGAAACGATCATCTATGAAGGCTACTTGGTCAGTTCATGCTGATTAGTCGATTGGTGGTAAAGAAATGTACATCTACCACTCATTTGCCTTGAGTAGTGGTTGCGGCGACTGTTCAGTGCGATGCGATGCTTCCATCAGCATTCGAGGGCACGTGCAGCAGCCTGAAGATGTGTCTCAAGAGGTCAAGAGGTCAGTTAGTCCGAAGAGTGATTCCGAAGCAAGCATCGATGGTTTGGTCACAGCCACCACCTCAAATGTGGCTGGACTGTGAAATCCAACAGGTGGGTGATGGATTTCACACTGCGAGGTCACTCGTTTAGCAGTAATTTTGCCACGTTCGTTTAATGGCAGCCAGAAGACACCAACACCTCAGTACCTGGCTCGCCGCACCTCACATTTTGTGATTGACATAGCAAAAGACTAAGAAAGAAGATTTTGCACAAAAATAAAAAAAATAAAATGCAATTTTTGCATCACATTCGACTCTTCTCACATAACGATTACAAGCAGTAGCGCCGTCCTGCTGGTCCGCATTTGAGCAGGAACGTCGATGCATCCCGATTCGCCTGCTGCGATCCTGTTCGCATCACCTCCGAGACATGCGAATGATGGTCTTAAAATACTTTGCAAGGCTTAACTAATTCAGGCGCATAAACCCAACTCCTCCACTTTAAAACCGTCTTTTGAGGTAAGTGGAGAAGGTGGGTGAAGTAAGGCCTAATACTCTCGAATCACGCACCACTTTGCAAAGTTGTCTTTGCGTGGTTGATCCGTAAGTCAAAGTGTGGGAGGCGTATAACATGTGTTTATGTTTGCGCTTTAAAATGCGGGCTCGTCAGTATGTGTGATGTGTACTTCCGTTTTGCAAGCCATTTTGTGATGGTAGAATTCGTTGCTACTTCAAGGCGGCACTGAACTCAGCAAGAGCGGCTTTGCTAACCAAATCCTAATCATCAGATTTCGCCACTAGACGAGGGGACGCATGATTCAAGGAGTCATCAAGACTGCGTCTAGGCTTGGCAAGGGTCTTGCTGGTGCCTTCTCCGAGATGATGTGATGCAGCGGCATCCTTTAAGAAGCTGTCAATTTGTCTCACCTGATCGAACCACTGATTAGGTTTTAAGTGAGTGAATTGCAAAATTAAATGCTGTGATTAGTCAAGTGACCGAGTCAGTAGCAGTGTGATGAGGGGAGATCTTTAATGGTGCAGCTTGGGAGAACAGATACTACTACCTGACCATCATTAGAAGTTCATCATCATTAGAAGTTCTGTGTGAAGCGCGTGGAACAAGCAATGAACATCAAATTCTAAAGCTTTCGCTCCATCTGCTAGTTTGGCCAAGCATGAAGGCTGATTGAAGAGGGAGCAAAGAGCTAAAACCGTCTGTAGGCATAAGAAGACGACCATAAATTGCAAGAGGAGCTGTAAATGGTAGCAGAATAGCCGGACAGAAGGGTGACTGATGCTTACGAGTATCCCCAGTGTGGTGCTCAAAATGGCACCTTGCACCAGCATCAAATGAGATTTACGTTTCGCTTAATTTGGTGCAAAAGAACTGCAGCATGCACTATTTTGGGACATATCGGCACATTTGTCTCCACCTGCCTCCTTTGCGAAAGCCGTTGACTGAGTTGGGACATCAATTGTCGAGCCCTCGCATACAACTCTTCAAAGTCAGCCAATCGGGCTCCAATCTTGTGGAAATGAAGCAAAACAATCATCAACTTGATCGCTGTACATGGAGTTCCAGTGCTGATTAGGTGGTAAGGGATGTTCAACGCGGCCTTGGCCTCAAGTAACCCAAACACTTGAGTCGCAGCATATCGTGATGGCCATGCATCCATTGTTGCGGTTGCCATGGCACAGCCATCACACCGTGGGGCTAAGTGATCTCATAACTCGCCTTACTTATAATGCGACCTCGTGCAGCACAGCGAAAAATTCTTCCATTACCATTAATTATCCCTCGCCTTGACACGCCATCGTCTAGTCTAACCCCAATCCCTCCGATCCAATGCTTTTGTGGTCTGAGATGGCATCTCATTTTTAAGCCAGAGACAATTGAGACTAATTACACTTCCGTTTTGAGAAAGACGCAAAATGCATTTAGATTTGGTATCATCTTGCAACTTAGCCGATTAAACTGGTCTAATCAGTGGGATCCGCAAAATGCATTGCTCAATAATATTTCTGTTGGAAATTAACCTCCAATGGCAGAGCGGTGTCTTGGACTACTGCGCTTGTTTGCTCAACGTTTCGGTTTTATTTATACGAGCGTTTTAGCGGAGGTTAACATTCTGGCCCACGTCATTAGACCTTCATCCTTTGTGCATCTCCTCGATT